AGCACGGACCTGCACACCAGGCTGACCAGCAGCGCGTCCCCCCCTGCGGGAGGGACAGTGGCAGGTGTAGGGTCACGCCAGACAGGATAGCCATGGCCCAGCCTAGGATGACACCCGGGAATGTCCACGTCCCCCCGCCACGCCCTCACCCCAAAGCCCAAGACAGTCTCAGGCAAGAAAGCGCCTGGGGGAGAGGACTGGAGGGGCTGAGACCCCGGTGGGATTGGTGCCGGCCTCGAGTCACCCTGCCGCCTGCCTTGCCTGCCCCCAGCTGCCTGCGCTGCCGCGTCCCTGCCGAGGGCGCTCACCTTCATCGATGATGATGGCCAGGCGGCCGTCTGGGGACAGCCCTACGCACTTGACGTTGTACCGCGTAGCCAAAGGCAGAGTGTTGGATTTGTTGCTGAGAGACAAAAAGCACAGCGGTGTCGCTGGTCTTAGTCATGAGACAAGGAGGGGGCGGCCTCAGGACCACCCACCCCTTACCCTGCTCCTGTCCCTGGCCGGCTCCGGGGCCAGAGCTCACGGCTGGTCCCCAGCTCCCTGCTGGAAAAGAGGAAATAAGACCAGGTCCCTGCAGAAAACTTGGCAAAACATATTAAAAACCTTAAAAACGGGCTTTGGTTTGGGGAACCCGGTGGCTCAGTCAGTTGAGCGTCTGACTTTCTATTTTGGCTCGCTGTGATCTCAGGTCACGGGACGGAGCCCCACGACAGCCTCTGCGGTCAGTGGGGAGTCTGCTCGAGGTCCTCTCTCCTCTGCCCCCTCCACACGCACAGGCACACATGCAGGCACGCACGCCCCCTCTCACACAAAAAAGTAAACTGGGGGGGACTCTGATTGTCCGTAGAAGTGCATCCCAGGAGTACTCCGCGAAGGCTATCAAGCCCCCAAACTGGAAATGCGCTAAATGTTCCCCAGAAGGAGTTAACCCCAGGGCCTGCACAGCCCCGTGAGGCTGCCATCACAGGACGGGAAAGCGAGTAACACGAGAAACAAGAGGCAGCAGCCGTTGGCTTGGACTAACTCTGCGCCCCACTCTTCTGCTCTCTGGTTTCCACCGAGCGCACAGTCCTCACTCCAGCCCCGTCAGCTGTGACCATCTCGTCTGCTGGCCCAGGGTGCCCCGCCCGGGCACTGCTCTCGGGGGCGTCAGGAAATGAGTCCCAGAGAGGACAGGGACCATCGTCCCACTGCACAGACCAGGAGGCAGAGCCTGCAGAGCCAGACACAACTCCAGGCACCCCCAGGCAACAGGAGGGTCTCACCCTGGCCACGTGACTCTGGGAAAGGGTGACAACCGTTCAGGAGTCCTTCCCCTTGAGGAGAAAGGAACAGAGCCACGTGCCGGTTCAGGAGAAGGAAAGTGAACCTGGCAAGTAGAACTGGGCTGCGGCGAGCTCGGCGCTGGCCCAGCAAAGGGTCCAGGGTGGCCTCCCAAGCCAGCACCCAGCACGATGACTGAGACTCCAGGGCTTAGGCGAGGGCCTAGAGGGACTAGAGCAAAGCAGTCCCGCGAGTGACGTGCTGACACTATGCGCACCTGCAGAACCTCCAAGCTGCCCCGGGCGCACCAGGAAGGGGAGGAGGAGGGAGACACGGTCAGTGTTTGCTGCGCGCTGTAACCGTCCGTGCTGTTCAAGTCATTTCAACACTTACTTTTTAAGGTCGAATATAGTGACTCTGTTTCCCACAGGGCTGATCAGTGAATTTCCATCACACGTAAAATTCAAGTTTCCACACCGATACACTGTCCCCAGCAAATTTGAAAACTGAAAAGCAAGTAGGCCATCTTAGTACAAAGAAAGCCCCAAACTGCAGGAAGGGCTAAGGGAGGCCTCTGGTCCAGGGCGGTGCAGAGCTCGCCCGCTCCCCCAGCTCCCTGGCCATTCCTGGGTCCCTCCTGGCACGCTTCCTGACCACCTATACAGCCTGGCCAGGAGGGACACAGGAAGGGGAAGGGAGTCCCAGCCCCGGGGGCTCCAAGCCCCTGCCAAAGAGGGTGAGGGCCACTGTGAGGGTCTGGGGGTGGGGTCTCCACGCACGAAGGGGACCCACCCTGCAGGGAGAGAAGAGCTGAGCAATGGACGGCAACCCCCCAGCACCCTGGCTCAAGACCACCCCAACAAAGCAACCCTCCGGAGTCCAGTCCGGGAACTCATCAGACTGAAGGGCGCCCTGGAGAGACGGCGCTGCGTCCCGGGTCTGCGCCCTGCAGGCCCTCCCAGTCTCCACCGGCCAGGCAGGGCCGCGAAGAGCCAGCACAGAAGCGCGAGCAGGGCCTGCAGGGCAGCGTGACGGGCAGACCTGATCCGCAGGCGGGTCGGATGGGACCCGGGACAGCAGGAGCCGCGGGAGCGCACCGGGAGCAGCCCGGCCGGCGGCGTCCGGGCCAGGCCGGGGCCCCGGAGGAGTGCGGAGCCCGGCGAGGAGCGGACCCACGGGGCTGGCACGCGAACGCGTAGAGCGGCCCCGCCCGCGAGGAAGAGGAGGGCAGGCGCCCCGCGAGCCGCCGGGAGCCAGGCCCGCCGCCGCTCTCCGCGCCGGGGCTCGCGCTCTCCCGCCGCCTGTCCGTCCCGTCCGGGGGCCGCCGCGCACCGCCCCGAGGCCGGCCGCGCGGGCTACAGGCTGACAGTGCGCTCCGGCCCGCGCGCGCCCAGGCCCAGTTCTCCCGACCCGCCTCCGCTCCCCGGACCCCGCGCCGCGAACCCTCCGGCCGCGCCCGCGCTCACCTGGTACGCGAACTTCATCGCGGCCGCCGCACGTGTGCCGCCGCGCAGCCGCCGCGCCCCGCCCGCCGGCCCCAAGCAGGCACTTCCGGGCCTGGCCGCGCGGCACCACAGCGCCCTCAGGAGGCCCGGAGGGGCGGTGTCCCCCGAAGAGGAGCCCAGCCTTCAAGCCGCGCCCACGCCTCCTCCCCGGGGCGGAGCCCCGCCCGCGGACCCCGACCCCGCCACGCCCCGGGGCGGAGCCCAGACCTCGTGCCCCGCCCCCGCCCCCGCCGCGCCCTGAGGCGGAGCCCGGAACACGCACCCACCCCCGCCGCGCTTCGAGGCGGAGCTCCGTCCCGCGGGGCCACGCCCCCCGCCACGCCCCGAGGCGGACCCCAGGCTTCGTGCCCCGCCCCCGCCGCGCTCGGAGGCGGAGCCCGGAACACGCACCCACCCCCGCCGCGCTTCGAGGCGGAGCTCCGTCCCAATGGCCACGCCCCCTCCACGCCCCGAGGCGGACCCCAGGCCTCGTGCCCCGCCCCGCCGCGCCCCGCGGCCGAGCCAGCCCCCGGGCGGCACACCGGCCTGACCCGCCGCGAGGCTGGAGCTCGGGTCCGGCCGGGTGGCCTCGCCCCCGCGCCGCTCAGAAGGTTGAGGCCCGCCCGGAGAAGACGAGGCGCCCCGACTCCATCTTCACGTAACGGCTCCGCAGGACGAACGGGGGGGCGGGGCCCGAACAGGGAGCCGCGCGGGGAGGCGGAGACGCGCACGGGCGATGCGCGAACGCCGCGGCGGCCGCTCCCTTCCCAGGCGCGCGGCCCGCGGCTCCGTCCAGGGGTGCCCCGAGCCCGGAGGCTCGCACGTCTTCGGTCCTGCGGGCTGCGGGGTGACGAACCACGACGAAACCCCCGTGCCCCCGCGAAGCGGGCGGTCGGAGCCGGAGTCCGCAGCAAGGGTCGGGGGAGAAGACGGGGACGTCCTTCAAGTCCGCGCACGCGACCTCCATGCGCCGCAGCCAAAGAATGACGTTCAGACAGCAAAGTTTCTTCTTAAAATGTGTATTTCCAGAATGATAGTGCTCACATTTTAAACAGTCTTAATACAGTGGTTTCAGCCTAACGGTATGTTACAGAATAATGTGAAAAATGACTCTCCCAGTAACCATGAAAATGGAGTTCGTTTAATTCCCGCAGCGTCGAAGTCACCGGCGGGCCGCCTGCTCCAGTCTCGGAATCCCAGCCCTTCGGGTCTGACAGCCGGACGCACGCGATGAATAAACCGAGAGGGGCGCGTTCATGAAAACGCAAATGAATTCCAAAATCATGGGTTTATTTTAAAGATCACAGCTGACAGCGAAACATTCAGATCAGCATCGTTCAGTCTTTAAAAAGTAGTATAACTTCTTATTTTTATGGACACATCTGGAGTGTTTCTTTAATTTGATTCTGTAACTCAATCTTATTTTAATCACTCAAGAAAAACCGAACAGAAGCCTGTGTGTGTTGTCTCTGCTGACCACAGACATCAACCGAGACCTACTAGCATAGAATCCAACCCGCGACCGGCTGCGCTGACAATGGACTGGAGGTAAAAGTCATTTTCAGATTAAATACAACAATTTCCACATTAGAACCAGAAGTTATAATTTTTCCAATCACAGGAAACCCCATGAAATTCACCAAAATTATAACTTATATCCCTTTCCACTTGCTAGTATTTCATGTTGCACAGTATGTATAAAACGGCTGCACTTCTGTCTTTTAGATGCTCATTTGATATCCGGCTTCACAATTATTTAACAGCTGCTACATCTTTATTAACAAAATCAGCTCGTCTCAAACACATAAGCCTTATTTCATTTGAGAAATAACAGAAACCCAATTACTGCTTTAAAAAAAAAAAAGATGGGGCGCCTGGGTGGCTCAGCGGGTTAAAACCTCTGCCTTCTGCTCAGGTCATGATCCCAGGGTCCTGGGATCGAGCCCCACATGGGGCTCTCTGTGAAGCAGGGAGCCTGCTTCCCTTCCTCTCTCTCTGCCTGCCTCTCTATTTGTGATCTCTGTCTGTCAAATAAATAAAATAAAATCTTAAAAAAAAATAAAAATAAAAAATAAAAAAAAAGATGAAGTTTTAGGCAACATGTTTCATTTCTGTAGAACAAAACAGAACAAAAATAGAGGCACTCACCCAAAAAATCTTATGGGTAATTGGGGGGGGGGGGGGGCAAACCAGCCATAAATTTGAATTTATACCAATTGAAAACAGTAAAAAAAACACCAAAACACTTAGGATTTCTCCATTTTTTCCCGAGTATGTTATGTAGCTAGAGAGGATTTCGTCTGGGGTTAGAACCCAGACACAAAAAAATCAAATAGAAACAAGGTAACCATCGAATCACCCCTCCCCCGCCCCTCCCCCCCAGGGGGAGAGGGAAAGCCACATGATACTCAGTGTGAGCCTTTTCTGCCAAAATCAAATCTCAAAGTTCTCCTCACTCAAAGGGCTTGGCCGGTCTGGAGGCCATCGTCAATTTTTACAACAAAACAAGTTTATTTGAGAAACCCTAACCTATCTATCATTAGATTCTGAAGTTCTAATTTGCCTAACTAGTTGACCAAGTCGATTAGTTTTAAAGTGCACCTAAGGAAGATAGTTTTCTGAACGGTTTAATTAAACACACCAATATTCGTCTTCTTTACACGTTTCCAATTTCTGTAAATGAAAAAGACATGGGGCGGGGTGTGGGGACTCACACCACCTCATTTGTTGAGGGAGTGGAAAGACAGAACACAGAAGGGTGCACTCAGCCGCTCTGTGTACCCCGAGCCGCCCCGTGGCCCCAGCTCCCCGCCGCGCCGCCACACTGGCCTCTCCCGCCGGCGACCGGCAGGACCGGTGGCACCAGCGGCTGCGAAGGTCCCTTTCCTCTGGGGCTCACATGCTTGAGGTCGCCCCGACCTCTGTCAGACCTGACTACGCTCGCTCGATCAGTCTGCTCCGCTCGATTCCAAGCACACTTTCCCAGGGAAGTAAGAGTTCTCTATTTCTTATGTACAAAAATACATTGCTCTGGAGAGCTGGAAAGGGTTCCATACACCCAACACGTATTTACAAGCTGTGACTCTCACACCAGTAAAAACAAACACACATTTATTTTCTCCTTGATTTTTGGTGCAACTTATACATAAACATTACATCCGTTAGTCTGTACTTTTAAAAATAATAAATCAACCATATGTACAATTAAATTTACAACCAAAAGCAAATTAACCCATTGGTATGGCGTGACTGCGATTTTAGTGGACCGGCAGAGAGTATTCCAAGACTTTTCGTCCTTCCCACAACCAAACTAGAAGCACACTGAGAGGGCCGCCCCCCCAGTCCCCCTGAAATGGAGCCTCTCAATGTGTAGGACTTAAGGTGCAGAAGAAACATCCTGATCGCACAGTGACGATGACATGTCAACATTTAAAGGTGAGAGAAAACAACGTATCACCCCCCACATATATAATGGTAATTAAAATAAATACATATTTAATTTCAAGTGCATCTTGACATTCAGTCAACATCATGGGGAACAGGGGTTCCAGGAACGCTTGTTCCTAAACTAGTTCAATGCCAAGTTGTCCCTTAGGCCCTGGTCTCGTCTTCCCCCAGTAGCTTTAAGATGGCTCCAGCTAACGGAGGCTCCAGGTCCACCCAGTGGGCCACCCCAAGGCACAGAAGGGGGGTCCTTCCGTTCCCTCCCCACCCAGCCCTCAGCCTCACTGACCTGCCCTAACATTTCTAGAAATAGAAAATCACTACGTATCTCGGGTAAAAGATGGTGTTTCAACCCCCAGGAGACTCACAAATCCACCTGGACTGGAATCCAGAGGGCAGCCGTGTGACCAGGAAGGCACACACGTGTGATGACTAAGACGGCAGGGCCTGCCGTGTGTCTCCCTGGAAGGCACACGGACTCCATGAGGAACCAGGACACGGGGAGGCGGCCAGGTGAGGGTGCAGGGAGGGGCAGGGCTCTGGGCAGACACCGCAGGACGCCAACAAAGGGACCCAGGGATGGGGACAGGAGAGAGCAACGAGTCCTCTTACAGCATGGACAACACAAAAATGACGCTGGAACACAGCCGACCGGCCGCACGCTGAAAATCCTCCGATGCTTCCGTGGCCAGGCAGAAGCACCGCGAGTCCGGGTAGCGCTAGAATGTCACGATGGAGAGAGCAATGGAGCCAGGATCCCTTCCGGTGCGCCCACACCCGGCGGGGGCGTGTGCGGGCCCGAGGCGCGGTCATGTGACGCTGACTTCGAGGACGTGGTCGTCTTTGCTGGGGATGACCAGGACCTGCGTGCCCGAGCTTGAGTTGAAGACCTGGCCCTGCGGCAGCGCCTGGAGCCGGGGCATGGGCAGGCCTTTGTGCTCGCCGCTGGAGGCCGGGTGCGCGCCGCCCCGGCTCCTGACGCCGCCGTCTGGCTGGTCGTCCAGGTGCTTGTCCAGCGACAGGCTGTCACTCTCTATCCAGCTATCTGCAAAACGTACCACGGGTGACACCCCGGCCGGCAACCTGGCCCCAGCCACCCCGGGGAGCAGGAAGCCGCCCCAGCGGCCTTCAGCGCACGAGCAAGCCAGACGGCCCCTCTGAGAGAAGCGAGCCCACGGCGGCGTCTGAGCAGATGCCCACAACCTGCGGCCCCCCCGCCCCCGCTGCCGGCTGCTGCCCATGAGCAAGCCCGGTGCCCGCGAGGCGAGCATCCCAGTGCCCGCACGGAGCTCTCCCTCCCTCCGACAGTGGCTGCACCTTTCCCCTTCAAGCGTCCTTACCGGCGTCCAGTTGTGAGGAGTGCGCCGAGTGGTGGGGGAGGTATTTAAACAGCCTGACGTCGGGGAGGGGGAGGTAGCCCGCGAAGAGGGGCATCACCTCCATGTGGACGCGGTGCGTGGCCTGGGCGGCCACGGGCATGGAGATGACGCCAGAGCTCTTCCCGCAGACTGCCCAGTTGCTACTGTTGTCGACCACTGAAACAGAGGGAGAGCACTGGTCGGGCCCCAGCAAGGGCCGTGCACAGCCCCCACTCCAGAGCGTCAATGCAAACCGGACACATTCTAGACCTTCCTGTCCTCTGACTGCACCTCAACAGAGAAGCGTGGCTCGGCGACAAGATACACACGAGAGCCACAGGGAACATCACCTTCTTTTCGAGTTCATAAATGAACAGGGATTCGGTTTTACTCCAAACCTTTGTATGTCAGGCTTCCAGAGTAGGGGGCTCTGGATGTGGAATCTGGAACAGGGAGGGGACAGGGTAACAGTCCGTCTAGGAAGTGGTGGCGTCAGACCAGGGGTCCCCACCCCAACTCTGCCGCTCAGACGAGCCTCTTGATGGCACAGAAAGAGCTTACGGAAAGGCCTTCTCCCAGCACAGCAGACATTGTTAACACAGGGCAGGCATCAGCAGCAGTGATTAAAACAGCCGCGACGTCGTTCAGTGTAACCAGAATGTGTAACGCACTCATCACTCAGGAGTTGGCGGGCCGGGAGCTTGTCCTCGACACGCCAAGGGCCTTGCCAAGAGGGGACAGCAGCTCTGTCAAGGGGACACTGGGCGGGGCCTAGGAGCTCCATGGACCAGGAGCTCCCTGAGGAGCAAAGAAGGGGTCGCAGAAGGCTGGCTTCCCACAGAGATCTGCTGGGGACAAGCGGCATCCGGGAGGGAGACCGGAGCAGTTCTCAGAGGGTGGTCCCGGGGCACCTGGAGGTCCCACTGCCGCCCTTCTCCCCAGGCTGCCACACACCCCGGCGCCCAGGACCGGAGGCCCGAGCGTGAACCGAGGCCCCCCGTGCACAGAGAGGTGTGCCAGTGGCTTCCTCACCACCATGCACCTGAGGATAGAAATCGCCAGTTTTACTTAAGGACGTCCTTTGAGAAGTCGTCGAAATTAATTTTATTAAATACAATCCTTAAGGAAAGATCTTTTCAACTCTAAGTCTGAATGATTACAGACTCTCGAGAAGCTGCACCCCGTGAGAGGGCCCCCAGCCCCCGAGCTCCCGGGGACTGCCCCCTGCCGTGCTCTTCCGTCTGGGGTACTGGGCCGATGTCGTCTCAAAAATGAAGGCTGTGAGCCTGTCGCTTTGAAGAAGTTGCCGGTGATACCGTCTGAAACCGGGCCTGCGAGACTGCCCAGTGAAAGGCGCCCAGCGTGCACGATCCGCACCCCTCAGGAGCCACGTTTCCCACGTGGCCGAGGCATGCCACGAAATGACATCAGGGTAAAGGGGCCTCTTAAACCACCAGCCAGATTTGCGCGTGGGAGGAAATAGAGCACGACAAGTTCATTCACAGATGTCCGAGGCCACGCTGTCACTGGCCTGGAAAAAAGAACCACTGGCCCAGTTTCGGTGAAAAGCCAATAGCCTCAGCTATTAAACCCCCTTTACCAGCTGTGGATCTAAGTGGCCCTAGAGCGTCCTCTCGTCCCTCCACCAGGGTTCCGGGTGCCAGCTCAGAGGACAAGCCAGCTCCCTCCTGTGAAGCCGTACGTTAGGGAGAGCCGAAAGTATGCAAACTAACGTCATTCTTCTATCTTTGGTCTTGTTTTGTTGTGAAAAACAGTTCTTTTTCAAACACGAAGTTATGGAATGCATTTGCTGTGATTTTTAAGTAACTGAAGAAAGAAATTTTTGGCTCCTCAAGCATTTCTTAAGAGCACACACGGTCCTGACAGCCCCCCAGACTGCGAGCTACTCCCAAAGCAGCCAAGGCCCTGGAAGAGGTGGGCGAAGTGGGTCTGGAAGGGGTCAGGCAGCGGGCGGGGCGGGGGCAGTCTCAGGCGGGGATTGGGGGCAGGGGACAGGAGGAGGCCCGGAGGGAAGAGGTCAGGGCCCGGACCCAACCACACAAGGACTGCGGGGTGGCAGAGTTGGGACCCTGCTCCCGCAGTATTGGGAAGACCCCGAGTCATGGGCAGAGAGGGAAGGCCAGCTCCAGGGCCACCGTGTTCTCCACACTGGGCCCAACGACCGCTTGAGGATCTCCCAGGAGCCAAGTCTAATGTCCTAGCAGCCTAGGACCACGCCACATAATAAAACATTCAAGTGAGCTTTTCTGATTCTAGAACATTCTCTCTTCAGATCAGGAACACTGCACCCTGTGGAAAAGGGGCTGCAAACCCTTCATGCGCCGGGGCAGCCCAGCAGCCCGGGGAAGAGATGCGTCCAGACGCACCTTCGTACATCAGCTTGGTCGAAAAGTACTCGTCGGTCTCCATCAGCGCTTCGTCCTTGTCCACCTCCAAGAGGTCCGAGAGCCGCGTGATGGACACCTCCAGCGAGCAGAGCGAGCCCGTCCGACAGTGCTCCGTGCCCGCGGCGGGGAGGATCTCCGCTCTCACGTTATATAACGTCTGCACGAGAAAGAGAGAGACAGGCACAAGTGTCCACACAGTGGGCAGAGGCGCTCCCCCAGCCCCGGGGGTGCTGCCCACAGACACGAGGGACGGGGACGGAGGGGCCGCGTCGGCTGGGAGGCCTGCTGGGCACGGCCCCGCAGCAACCGCCTTGCAGGGACCCGTGCCTGGCAAGTCCCCGCCGAGTGCATCTCACTCTTGTTCTTGCGCCGACCTTTCCAAAGCACGCACAACAGTAGGGAGGACAGGCCCTCGCCCCTGCACGCCTATCACCCAGACTCAGGATCACCAACGTTTTGCTCCAGTTGCTCTCTCTCTGTGGATCAACGTGTACTTCTCTGCCCAGGGCCCTGAAGGCAAATTCCAGAGCACCTGTGGCTTCACCACTCTGTGCCTCAGCCGGCGTCCCTAAAAACATGGACTTGCCCTCACAGACACGACACCAGAGCCACAACGAGCAGAGATCAGTCTTTCCTTGCCACTGTGTGGCAGCAGAACCTACCTTTGGCTGAATGTTCCTTTGTCCACAGTGACCTCTGTACCCAACGGCCTCCCCCACTCACACCTGCCCGACACCTTCCCTAACCTGGGACCAGCAAGACCCGGGCCTGCCCCGGGGTGGGTGGCCTCCCCCGCTCCACTCCTCCCCGGAAGGATGTCAGGGACAAATGCTGGTGAGGCTGTGGCAGCTGGAGCCCTCGCATGTCACTTGCGGGAGTAAAGGGACGTCCCTTTGGGAAACAGAGCGGCGCCTTCTCAAAAAGACCACATGCTCTAAAACAGGACCGTGGGGACGGTCGCACCACCCTGCCGGTGGACCTGCTGTCCTGAGGCAGACACCGCAAGGGGCTGAGCCGCACGGCAGGTAGGTGACATGACTCAGTAGCGCTTTCCTGAGAAAAGTGGTGTCTCTGTTTCCGGCCCTCGGAGATGACCAGTTTTCAAACACTGACCTGTTTGCACGGCTCCAGAGAAATCGGAACCCGTGCTCATGACACGGAGAGGGAGCACAGAGACCGCAAGCGCGTGACCAAACACCGCGGCGAGCACACCAGAGGGCTCGCACGCAGACTCAGGCACATGTGGGGTTTGACGTGGAGCTGCTGGGCACACGCGGAAAGGTGCGCGCGTGTGTTACAGAGAGAGACCACGCTGGCGAGGACGTGGAAGCCGAAGGCCGATGGAGAGACGGAGCAGGAGGGTCAACACAGCGACTCAGCTGGAAGGAGGCGCTGAAAACACCGCTGGGGTCAAGCGCTATGAACACGAGCACATCCTCTTGTGGTCCGACGGTTCCAGGAGTAGAGCCAAGGAAACACCACAAACCGGGGTTCTGATTGACCCGGCACAAAATCCAAGTCTCGCCAAAGACATGGAAACACGCGCGTTTCCCTGCCCAGCTCAAGGCCACTCCAGCCCGCATGTGACACGCGGGTTATAGGACAATCGTCAGGATGTGGAGGCAGTAGATTTTGATAATACTTCCCGTTTTTCTTTTAAAAAGAAAGCCCCCTTAGGGCACCTGGGGGCGCTCAGTCAGTGACGCGGCTGCCCTCGGCTCAGGTCATGGTCCCAGGGTCCTGGGATTGGGCCCCACATCGGGTTCCCTGCTCGGCGTGGAGCCTACTTCCCCCTCCACCCCTCACCGCACTCATGCTCTCATCTGCTCTCCCTCTAGCTCTCAAATAAAATCTTAAAAAATAAATAAATAAAAATAAAAAGAAAGCATCTCGGTGATCCTAGCATCTAGGATCAAGAAGAAAGGACTCTAAGAAATAGTTCCAGAACATTCTAAACATGAGCAAGAGAAGAGAGAGCAGAGAATCCGAATCTTCACTCTTTACACTCATCTCATGACCACCAGCGAGACTGCACGAGGGCCAGACCCCTCGCTTGAAAAGGACCGGGTGTCTACGGCACAGCCAGCCAGTGACCGAGCGGCTCCAAAGGCCAACTAACCTCCTGGGCAGTTGCTTCCTTCTACTGGAAGATTCTTCTCTGACTTTTGTAGATTAAAAGGAGTACGATGCCACCTTCCACGTTCCCACCCCACACTCCCACCAGAAAAGAATACGATACGTACAAAAAAATTTTCCACTTGAAATTCGTACGTGTAGGGCTTTAAGGGGACCGAGAGCTGTCCTTCAGAAGCCGGGGAGAATCCAATGGAGAAGCGACAGCGCAGAGAAGGGGGGGGCTCCCGCGCCCACAGCAGCTCCCACACGAAGAACACGGACTGCTTGCTGTGGATGGCCTGCGGAGACAGACACCGGCGTGGAGCACACACACGCAGCCGCCCCGCCGCCCCGCGGGGTCCCGCCCGCCCGGCCCTGTGAAGACAGCACCAGGCTGGTTGGAAGGGTTTAACCCTTCGGGGCGCCTGGGCACACGTGACACATGAATATCTGGAACAAGACGGTCAGCACCAGCCAGGCAGCCCACACACGAGCAGGGCCCCTTTACAAAGCCACACCAACACACAGGGTCTCTTCCCAGGGCACAGACAGGTGTCTCGTCGCAGGCGGGACAGGGGACGGCATCCAGGCCATCAGCAGAAGCTCAAGAACGGGCCTGCAGTTACACAGGCCAGAGTGCAGGGCGGGACCGTCTGACTCTTGTACAAGGACGAGCGTCATTCTGTCTCCTAATTTACCCCTCATGCCGCTCCGTGCCCAGCGTGAAACACGAACACACACAGGACAGCAACAAAGCTGAGTGTCCCCGCCCTTGGGGACGCGCGCACTGTTGGCTTGTCACCAGGGAGGCCACGCTTTCCTCAGACCCTCCTGGCCACTCGGGCGTCCCATGCGGGCTTGCACCCCACGCTGTGCGGAGGGCTCTGCGCTCGCCTCTGGACAAGGCTTACCTGTGGGGACTGGGCATTCAGAGGCACGAGCTGCACGTCAGCACTGCAGCCGGGGTCCACAAGGTCACCGTCCGACAGCTGAAAGTCAAGTTCCGACAAATTCTGGACACACACCTGAATGTACTTCCTAAAGCAGAAAAGCAGAAAAGCAGATTTTGAAACTTAACAACTGTATTAAATGTGCTTTGGTTAAGAAGACTCTCTCTGGGGAACCAAAAAGTGACCCGGCAACATAAGACCAGTCGGTCTCACACGGGAAAGCGCCCCCCGAAACCGCACCTCCCCAGACAAGCTACTTCTGAGGAAAAATGGGTCAAAGGACGGGCCGTTCTTGACCCAGTGTTAACACACGATCGTAGATGGCTCGCGGTGCGTGAGGATGGACAGAGGGGCCACTGCTCCTGGACAGACCACGCACAGGGCTCCCATCCGTCCCTGTTACACAGGAAGAGTCTGAAAGAAAGCACCCCAACTTCTGAGACGTGCCGGTGTCTCTAGCCACTGACAGGTGTGGTCCCTCCCCATAGCGGGAGCGTGCCAGGGTAACGTTCGCTCTAGATACAGATCTGACAGCCTGGGGACCCATTTTTGCAAATTTCAGCAACAGATGAAAGTGAAAGGAGTTTTACAGGGAGAGGCCACACGCCGCCCTGAGCCCAGGGTCGGCGCCCACCGTCACTGGCAGTGGGACAAGCAGACGCCGCCTCCCGAAGCTGATGGACAGAGCACAGGGCTCCCCCCAAACCATCTGGTCCAAAGGCTGAGTCAGATTCTAGTGCGTGCGGCTTTGAGAGCCGTGAGAGCTTCTCAACAGGAAGCAGTCCTGCCCCCGTGGGCGGTATCACCCGGCATCTCAAGGTGGATCTTTCGTTGTCATGATGGGCATGGGGAGAATGAGAGGCGCAAGATGGGGGAGCTAGGGGTGCTACTGAACACTACAGTGTGTGGGCCAGACTCTCAGGCCCACAAACGAGGAGTTCTTGGACCCACAGCATCCGCTGTGCCGAGGCTGAAAATCCCCACCCAGACGTATCCAGCTGCCGGCAGAGGAACCAAGAAACACGAACCCCCAAGAAGGCGACCAAATTCAGAATGCTGGGCCTTCTCTCTAGAGGACTGAACTGAGCTCAGCAGAGGGCCACCGGCTTGAGAAATGGGAGGACAGATAAAAAACGATCTCATCGGGGCGCCCGGGTGGCTCAGTGGGTTAAGCCTCTGCCTTCGGCTCAGGTCATGATCCCAGGGTCCTGGGATCGAGCCCCGCATCGGGCTCTCTGCTCAGCGGGGAGCCTGCTTCCTCCTCTCTCTCTGCCTGCCTCTCTGCCTACTTGTGATCTCTGTCTGTCAAATAAATGAATATAATCTTTAAAAAAAAAAAATGATCTCATCATCAAACAGGGGCTTGGTTTGGATCCTACATCCTAAAACCATTGGTGCACGGTCACTTCTGCGACCGCTGGGGACACCTGACCGTGGACGGGCTGCGGTGCAGCTGCAGGGAATCACCAAGAACCCGCATGAGCAGACCACAGCATCAGGACCGGGAAGAAAGCCGGCTCAGCATCCCCGAGGCCACGCTCTGAGCGGCAAGGTGTGCACGCGGGACAGCCCAGCCCAGGACTGGGGCCCAGAGCCTGCCTTTACCGTGTCCCGGCGGACAGAAGCGAGTGCGTGGTCCGGAAGGGCACGCTGAAGGTCAGAGCGATGACGGTGGAGTAGATGGACCACGGGCAGTCGATGGACACCTGAGAAGAAACACGGGGACGCACCTTCAGACCCCTGGCCCGGCCATGGCTGCCACCACACCGTCCACCCGGGCCAGCAGTGGCAGCCGACGTCCTGGACGGGGGGACGGCCTCGCCACCTCTTCTTCAGAAATCAAACCCCCGTGAGTCACATGCACGAAGGAGAAACATCAAGCTACGTACACAGAAAAGAAAAATCAACACGGAGCGGCCGGCCGGCCGTGAGACACAGCGTGGTCTCGGCGCCCGCAGCCCCAGGACCCACTCGCGCATCCCACACCAACAGCTGGATGCCGGACGTGTTCTCCGGCTCTGCGGGAGGTGGGGATAGACGGCTTTCCGCCGTTCGGGCACGATCACGTGAGCAATGATTAACTACTGCAAAATTAAAGGAATTACCCAGTCACGCCACACAACAACGGGTATGAAACAGAAAAGCAAAGGCATCTGGCTGTTGAAACGCTGCCACAGCGAACAGGGCGTGCAGATCGCTTTTCAAGCAGCTGTTTTCATTTTCTTTGGGCAAACACCTAGTAGGGACACTGCTGGGTCCTAGGGCAGTTCTATAACGTTCCGAGGACCCCCCTTCCATTCTGTTCTCCAGAGTGGCTGCCCAGTCTGCATTCCCGCCAACGGGGCACAAGGGTTCCCCTTTCTCTGCATCCTCACCAACCTTAGTGATGTCCAACATCTGCACATCGTCTCAGGAGAATACTCAGATCTTCTGCATGCGCTTTAATCAAACCGTGGGGGATTCTGCTACTGAGTTAGAAAGTCCATTTTGTATTCTGGGTATGAACACCCCATCAAATATATGATTTGCAAGTATCTTCTCCCATTCTGTAGGCTGGCTTTTCATTGTCTCCTCTGCTGTGCCGAAGCTTTTTAGGTTGACGTAGTCTCAATAGTTCATTTTTGCTTTTGTTGTCAGGTCCGTAAAATAATTGCCAAGATCAGTATCAAGGAGCTTACCACGTAAATCTTCTTCTAGGAGCTTTATGGTTTCAGGTCTTACCTTCTAGCTTTGAATCCACTTGAGTTAACTTTTTTTGAACAATTTAAGACAAGGGTCCAGCTTCGTTCTTTCGCATGTGGTTGACCAATTTTCCCAGCACCATTTATTTGAAGACATTGTCCTTTCCCCATTACACATTCCTGCGTCCTTTGTCTTAAATTAATTGATAGAATATACGTGGGTTTATTTCTGGGCTCTGTATTCTGGCCCATTGGTCTGTGCATCTGCATTTATGCCGCTACCATAGCTTTTGGACAACTACAGCTTCATAACATAGTCTGAAGTCCAGGAGCACGATGCCTCCAGCTTTGTTCTGATTGTTTTGGGTATCTGGGGTCTTTTGTGGTTTCATACATGCTTGAGGGTTATTTGTTCCATTTCTACAAAAACTGCCTTTGGAACTTTGGGATTACACTGAATCTATATGTGGCTGGCTAGTATGGACATCTGAACAATATTAAATCTTCCAGTCCCTGAGCATAGAACATCTTTCCGTGTATTCGTGTCTTCCTCAATTTCTTTCATTAATGTCTTATAGTTTCCAATATGCACCTCTTTCACCTCCTTGGTTAAATTCATTCCTAGGTATTTTATTCTTTTCGATGCAATTATAAATGAAATTGTTTGATTTCTTTCCGACAGTTCATTATTAGTATATAGAAACATAACAGATTTCTCATACTTATTTTGTATTCTGCAACTTTACTGGATTTATTTATTGATGAAGGTTTTTGATGTAGCAGTCTTTAGAACTTTATATACATAAAATATTATGCCATTTGCAAATAGTGACATTTTACTTCTTTCCTTCCAACTAGGATGACTTTTATTTCTTTTTCTTGCCCAACTGCTCTAGCAAGGACTTCTAGTACTACGCTGAATAAAAGTGACAAGAGTGGGCAACCTTTGTCTTGTTCCAGATCTTAGAGGAAAGGCTTTCAGCTTTTCACCATTAAGCATATTAGCTGTGGGCTTGTCATATATGACCTTTATTATGTTGAGGTATGTTCCCTACATATCCATTTTAATCTCCTTACTAGTAATCTGTTCAGATTTTCTATCTCGTCATGATTCACTCTTGCTAAGTTGTACGTTCCCCGGAATTTATCCACTTCTTCTAGGTGCAATTTGTTGGCCTGCAGTCATCTATGGTAGTCTCTTGTGGTCCTTTTTTACCTGTGTGTTAGCTGTAACATCTCTTTCACTTCTGATCTGAGTCCTCTCTCTTTATCTTGGTGAGTCTAGCAAAAGGTCTGTCAGTTTCATCTTTTCAAAGAACCGGCTCTCGGTTTCACTGATCAAGTCTATTATCTCTTCAGTCCAATTCATTTATTTCTGCTGTAATGTTCATTTCCTTCCTTCTACAAACCTTGGGCTTCATTTGTTCTTCTTTTTCTAGTTCCTTAAGGTGTAAAATGAGGTTGTTTGAGGCTCTCCCTCTTTCTTGAAGTAGGCCTGTATTGCTACGAACGTCCCTCTTAGAATGGCTTTTGCTGCATCTCATACATTTTGGTATGTTGCTCTTCTGTCTTCATCTGCCTCAGGGTAGGCTGTGATTTCTCTTGATTTCTTATTTTGGCCAACCGGCTGTTCAGTAGCATGTGGTTTAATCCCCACATGCCTGTGAATTTTCCAGTTTTCCTCATGTAATTAATCTCTAGTTTCCTATTGTTGGGCTCAGAAAAGATGCATGATGTGATTTCAACCCTCATAAACTTGTTAAGACTTGTTTCAGGGCATAATATACAATCTATCCTGGTGAAACGTTCCCTGCACACTTGAAAAGAATGTGTCTTCTGCCGCTTTTGGATGAATGTTCTGCAAATATCTGTTAAGTCCATCTGCTCTAATGTTTCACTTAAGGCCAGTGTTTCCTTATTGATTTTCTGTCGATGTCTGTCTGGATCCATTGATATAAATGGGGTATTAAATTCCTCTCTTACTATACTGCTGTCTATTTCTCCCTTTAGGTCTGCTCATACTTACTTTACATATTTAGGTGTTCCTGTGTTGGCTGCATAAATATCTACAAATGTTCTATCTTGTGGGATTGACCTTGTTCTCGTTATGTTACACTCTTGCCTCTTGTTACAGTCTTTGTTTCAAAGTCTATCTTATCTGATAGAAGTATAGCTGCTCCACATTTCTTCTGGCTCCTTTAGGTTTTGGTTTCACTTTAGTCTGTGTGTGTCCTTGTGTCAAAAGTGCGTCTCTTGGGCGCCTGGGTGGCTCAGTGGGTTAGGCCGCTGCCTTCGGCTCAGGTCATGATCTCAGAGTCCTGGGATCGAGCCCCACATCGGGATCTCTGCTCAGCGGGGAGCCTGCTTCCCTCTCTCTCTCTCTCTGCCTGCCTCTCTGTCTACTTGTGATCTCTCTCTGTCAAATAAATAAATAAAATCTTTAAAAAAAAAAAAAGTGCGTCTCTTGTAAGCAGTATATAGACGAGTCTTGATTTTTTTATCCGTTCAATTACTCCTTGTCTTCTGATTGCAGAACTTAGTCCACTTACATTTAAGTAGTTACTGAGAAGGCATGTGCTTGTTGCCATTTTTGTTAATTGTTTTCTGACTGTTTTTTAATTTTTATTTTATTTATTTGACGGAGAGCAAGCACAAGCAGGGAAGCAGCAGGCAGAGAGAGGGAGAAGCAGGCTCCCCACTGAGCGGGGAGCCCGATGCGGGGCTCGATCCCAGGACCCTGGGATGATGACCTGAGCCGAAGGCAGACACTTAACCCATTGAGCCACCCAGGCGCCCCTTCTCACATTTCTTGTAGCTCCTCTCTGTTCCTTTCTTCTTCTCCGCTTTCTTCTTTGTGGTTTGATGACTTTCTCAGGCGGTGTGCTGTATTTCTTTATCTTTTGTAGGTTTGCCCCAGGTTTTTGCTTTGTGGCTAGCTACCATGAGGCTTACGTATAACAACTTAAGTTTGTAACAGTCTATTTTAAGTTGATCATAACTTAAAAGTTTCTAAAGCTCAACGTTTTTACTCTCCCTCACTCCCACATTTGATGTTTTGATGTCCCACTGTACATTCTTTTATCTGTGTGTTAACTATTATAATCACAGTTACTTTTACTTCTTATATCTTTTATCTTTCATCCTAGCTTTTTAAGTGCTTAACCCACTACTTTTACTATATATTCAACTTTCCAGTGAGATTTATTCTTTCACACGTGCTCTTGTGAACACCTTCTTTTCAGCTTAAAGAAGAGCATTCCTTGAAGGCTGGGTTAGTGGTGATGAACTCCTTTAGCTTTTGTTTCTCCAGAAAACACTTTACATCTCCTTCACTTCTGAATGATCGCTTTGCCGGGTAGAGTTATCTTGGTTGGAGGTTTTCCTTTCAGCACTGAGTACATCGTGCCACTCTCTCTGGCCTGCAGGGTTTCTGCTGGAAAATCCGCTGACAGACTTAGGGGGTTTCTTTTTAAGTAATAAGCTGTTTTTCTCTCGCTGCTGTTGTTTTTATCCTCCTTCCATGACCTACCCTACCCTCATCTGCTGCTTTTAAGATTCGCTCCTGGTCTTCAATTTTTGACATGTAATTGTAAAGTGTCTTGGTGTGGGTCTCTCTGGGTTCCTCTTATTTGAAACTCTCTGGGCATCTTGCATCTGGATGTCTGTTTCCTTTTCCAGATTAGGGAAGTTTTCAGCCATTACTTCTTCAAGGAGATTTCTGACCTTTTCTCTCTGTCTTCTTCTTCTGGAAGCCTGGTGATCCAAGCATTAGTCCGTCTGATGCTGTCCTATTAGTCTCTAAGCTATCTTTGCTATTTTTTTTTTTCATTCTTTTTTCTTTTTGCTGCTCTGAGTTCCACTCCTTGACTTTGAGCTGTCTGGTCCTTTCTTCTGCTTCACCTACACTGTATTTCAGTCAGCTGTGCTCTGTGACGTCGATCTGGTACATTCTTCTGCTTCCCACCTCCTTGTTGAAGTTGTGTTCATCCATTTTCTCCCATTTGGTGAGCATCTTCATGAGCAGGACTTTGAACTCCTTTTTAGGTAGCTGCTTATCTCCATTTCATTAAGATTTTTTCCCCTGAGGTTTTAGCTTGTTCTTCATTCCTGGAACATGTGCCTCTGCTGCTTCATCCTGCTGGACTCTCTCTGTCTACACAGCAGACAGCACAACTGCCGTCCCGGTCTGAAAGGAGCAGCCTGGTGTGGGAGATGAGCCTCAGCATTCGCTCCTGTCCCAGTTCTTGGCTGTTGCTCCAAACCTTTGTGCTGTCAGGACTTGCTGACTTTTTAATCCCTTCTAGCAACTGAGGGGTGTGCCAAGACTTGTCATTGTCCTCGAGTGGAGGATCCCAGCCCCTAGATTCAGGATGACTGGAAGCCAGACACACAGGCAACAGCTTTCTAAAGTGCAAATAATGTACAGCTCTGTGGGACCAGGAGTGTGCAGTTCGACCTTTGGGTGAAAAGGCTCTCAGAACTGACATTCATGTTACAAGACATGGACAAAGCTCAAGAAGCACAATGGCAGTGACACATTCCTTGAGCTAAGGACGGTGGCTCTGGGACCGAAGTCATGATCTCTCAAATAACTGTCAATAAACACCAACATCAAAGCATAAAATGACAGCGCTTCCTCTGTGCCAAGCTCGATGTAACGTTCTAGTGGACAGAAACCCAAGCACACGGACACAGAAGTCGCACTAGCCTGTGTACCAAGACAAACGGACTACAGACCCAAACTGACGTCCCCATTCTAGGCAAACATCCTATCTCCTACAATGAACTGTCCTGCCCTCTTGAGCTGGTGTAGACAACTTAGAGCCTGCCTGGCCTGTCTTTGGTCCTTGCAAGCGTACCCTTTATCTAAGAAGGGGGATTCAAAGAGACAAATGCCAAACCCAGCGAGGGGATGTGGACTCAGGAGCGGGAAATCTGCCACGTGAGCACAAGGCATCTCTCGGGCGCCGTCTCTCGGAACAAGTGCGACCGGCAAAGGCCGCGAGCACGGGCGGCGCCCTCCTGGCCCCTCCTTACTTTGTGGTCCGTGGTAGCCATGCAGTGGCCGGCTCTGGGTGTGTCCTTATGCTTCCTGTGGGGCTCTGTCGTCCCCAGCGTGCTGCTCTCTCCTCCGGTTACTGGAGCTGAAGGTAAAGACAGAACTTCCAGTTCAAATTCAATCATGTGGTACGCAGGAGCAGCGGGCAGACTGATGCTCGTGACCTTGTCAGACGACTGGACCCGGAGCAACACATCAGAAGCCTTTTCTAGGAAAGAGAGAGAAAGTCACTTCTAACACGTTCTGTGTGTGTCCTTGCTCCTCGTCCTTCTAGCAGTGACGGGCCCAGCAGAGTCGTCCCCACCCAACTCCCACTGCTCCCGCGCACTGGCAAGAGCGTATCCAGGAAGGATGAAGGTGGGCGGGCAGAGGTCGGAAAACAAGGAACAATACCCTCTCAGATACTGATACCGCATAAGCTGGTGGCCTGGAGACCAGACACTGTCACTAAGTCCGAAGACAAAAAAGGGACACTTTCCGTGTGGCCCGCCACGTGCTGTGTGTGTCCCTGCACGACATGATCCCACTCCATTCCGCCGGCAGACCGGCTCCCACCCAGAAGGGGAGCGGCACCCTTCCCTTTCCATCCCTCATGCCTGGGGACCAGGGGAGACGGGACTCTTCTAGGGCTTCTGGCCAGCACCTAAAAAGGCTGATTCGTTCCCACTTGTTGGCCAGGGGGATTGGGGAGGTGGCAGGTGACTGCAGGCTTGCAAGGCGCCCTCCTGGAGCAGGGGGCCAGTCCGTGATGCTGCACTATAAGGCCTTAGTAAGGTCAGCCCTGCCTGGCCTCCAGGCCTACACCAGCTCTTCGTCCCAGATACGATGGCCCGCCCAGGGTCAGGCTCCCAGCCCAGCGAAAGGCAGGACATGGCCATGAAAGAGCCGCAGGGAGAAGCGATCCTCAGACACCACCCGAGACCACGGCCGCCTCACACCCTCACGGTGCGGGACAACGGTGAGAGTCCGCCTTTGCCAGGTGACGGCCACCTCACCTCTCGTGTTGGAGTAGATCACTGCTCTGTTCTCCGCGTGACACAGGATGAGCATGGCTTCTGCGTTGCTCAGCTGGAGGCTGTCGCCGTTTTTTACCGTATAATGGCCCGTAGTGACAGTGAACTTTACCTTCTGAGGAATACCAGCCAAAAGGCTATCTGAAGGGAAGAAGACAGCAGTCAGCACCACCATCAGTCCGCGGCGGCCTCGTGAGGTCACAAGGGCGCTCTGCTGCTTGTCACAGCAGACCTGTCCCCTGTAAACAGTCCACAGGTCACTCCCAGTTCCACCCGCCAGCCTCGCTTTTCATCTCGGGCACACGGACGCGGAGTTGCGGGGGCACCTGCTGGGAACGAGAGGCCCCAAGTCTTATCGGCACCGAAGATAGAGTTGGGGTTCCCGGGGGGCAAGCATGTATCTGAATTCACCCGCCGATACATCAGTGAGGGAGAAGCAGACAAAGAACACGGAAGAACAGACTAACGGAATCGCATGTACTGTCCGTGCTATTCGGAACTGTTCCCAGCCTTGTCAGGTTAGGCCTTCCGGACCTTTGGTTCAGAAACCGCCGGGTGGATCGGGTGGCTACTGCCTTCCCCCAGTCGAGAACGAGGGGCAGAGATGGGCTGAGCTGTCAAGAGTCCCGCGCCAGGACAGGCAGAAGCAAGGAGGCGAGAGATCGGAACCCAGGAGGAGGAGCAGACAGGTGAGAGGGACGGGGAGGCACAAGCGAGAACGGGAGTGAGGGACCGCGCACGGCTAGTCCCCGGTCTGGCTCGGGGCGTCCCAGGCCCTCGAGCAGCGGTGCCCGGCTCCTCTCATAAGCGGTCCCGACGGAACCGTCCGACAGGCTGTCCGGCACCTGAGGGCCTTTCCCAGTAGCCGTGGGAGACTTCTACAATCAGAACAGTAGGGACCATGGAGAGATGAACTAGAAATAAAGTGCTTTCCTTGAATTTCTTCCCAAATGGAAGAAACGAGCCAAATAAACACACCCCACTCGGCCCGAGAGACCGAGAGACTTAGTCACCAGTGCCTGACACGTCAAGTGCCACGCGGGGTTCACTAATCTACTTACACCAACTCCTCCCAATTTTCAGACTTGACCCGAGGACAGCAGCTCTGGACCGGGCTCGCCCGTGCGGGGGCGCACACCCGGCCAGGCCCCCACGGCGCACTCACCGGCCAGCGGCTCCACGTGTAGCTGCGGCTCCTGCGAGTACACGTCGTACTGCACCAGCGGGTAGAGGTGCGGCAGCACGAACCACACCGGGCCCACCGAGGCGCACAGCTGCCGCAGCGTGTATGTTCCGGGCTCCTTGGCCTAGGGTCAAAGTCGCATGTTGCGACGGTCAGCCCCGCCCTTGTGACGGGCTTCCCAGGGGAGGCTGCACCCCCGTCTCTGGGAAACGCCCTTTGCTCTCCCCCTCTCCTGCCTACCCTGCGGCTCTGGGCCCCCACCTCGGCACGTGGGCTGTCCCCCAGCGCCCTCCGAGTCTCTCGCGGGGGTCTTCTCAGTAACGGATGCTTAAACCTGCCTTTCTGCTTCCAAGAACGTGTTTTCAATTTCCTACACATCATCTGTGGCATTGTTTTCTGCAAAGCGTCTCACGGGAACTTCAGCACGGGCTCTGAGCCCTGCGCCGAGCCTCGGCCACTGCGCCCGGGACCACAGCCGAGCCCTCCTCGGTCAGCGGGACCCAGTCAGCGGGACTCACAGGGAGCGCTGAGGGGAGGTGGGTATCAGAGCGGGCCCCGAGCCGCTGTTCCGACATCCATGTGGCCCACGAAAGGAAAGCCACCGAGTGGAACACAGAACTGGGCCACCTCCTCTAAAGGGTCATTTCAACAAATGAGGATATATTTTAATACAGAGGAAAAAAACTCTAAGTCCAGTGAGAGCAAAAATAATTACCCACATTAAGAACTTCTTTCAAAATCTATGAGCTGTCGTAACACCATGTTAAGCGTCAAGGATTTCGTAAAATCTCAGCGTATTTGTCCTTGAGGATGTACACAAAAGCCAGGGTAAGGCACAGCGCCAACAGCTCTGGCGAGCTCAAGACCCTTCTGAGCGTCTTCAAAGTCGCCCACGCCCCCACGTACCTGCGTCCTGAACGTTATCCTGTTGGGCCCCGGCTCCAGGGTCACGTCACTACATTTGAGCACGTGGGCCCCGTCCTCCAGAGCCACGCCTGAGGGTGTCTCCAGAGAAGTGCTGCTCTCCTGCCTTCTCAGCAGCATGTGGACATTTTTGCATATGATCCCTGTCGTGTTCAAGGAATTGTCAGAGGGACTCCTCTCGAACATCTCGTACAGCTCCAGTGCTGGCGAGTTGTTCTGGGTGGCGGGGAGGGGCGAGGTCTCCGCTGGAAAAGTAATGACCCCGTTGGCCATCTTGTGCTTGGTGAGCCACTCGGCCGTCTTCCGGTAGTTGTTCTTCTCGATGCTGAAGTGGACGTTGATGGCGATCTGCTCCACGCGGACGGGGATGGGCATCTGGCTGCACAAGGTTATGTCCACGGAGAGAACGCCGCCCACGTGGACCACGGCGTTGGACGGGGTAAAATGCAGATCTTGCAGGTGTGCGAAACAATGCAGAGGGAGTACGATCTTCTGACCTGCAAACACACATCACCACGAGTTACTCGCCATGGCTCGCTCTAGGCCGCCTCCGGTCGGTCTCCCCGGGGACCTGCTGGAGCACACCCAACACGACAGGCCAACGGGCCGGGCTAGTCAAAAGAGACGGATGCAAACCTCCCAACCCCACAGCATCTTCACACTCCAGAACGCGCTACCCGGTCAAAGGTAGAACATAACCTCGATCTTAGAGAGGCCCCAGGAAACCACAATGTCTGAAGAGATTCAGCTAGGCTCTGTTCTGGCAAACCTAAGAGAAAACAGGTCCGTTAACACCTGAATTTCAAATCCATATTTGTCAATAGTCCGATTCTTGGAGCTGCTTCAGAGAATTCCACCCATTTCCCAACTACACAAAGAAATTACCAAGTATGGGTGTCTACGTTCCCCCCATGTATCCAGAAATCAAGCCGGGTGCTCACCAGCCTAGGAAGTCAGCCAATTAAGTGGGGAGCCCTGCCTCCCAGACCCCAAGCCTCGCAGCCCTCTCTGGCCTCCTTTCTGTAAGCACCCAGCTTGTTGAGATCCACAAGGCTGCCAGACTGGTCGGCGTTTTTGAGCACGAATCTACTAAAGGCAGGACTCGCAGAGACCAGTGTGGACGCACACGTCAGAGTATCTTATTCGTACGGAGACCTTGAGGGACGCGGCAGGAGAAGCACGCATGCCCAGGCTCACACACACGTCACATAAAGCAGACACCCCACGGCTCTACCGACGACCGCTGGGGTACATTTAAGAATCTGAAAAGACCAGCCAGTGCCACCTGCTCCTGAGAAGACCACGCAGATGGCTTGGCGTGACGGCGCAACACCCCCGTGGTCAGTGACCCCCGCTACCTAAGGCCATGTCTTCGGAAGCACTGGCTGTCAGGGAGTTAGTGACTGCCAGGGGCCGTGCTGGGGAAGTGGGCGTCCCAGCCCCCAGGGTGCCAGCAGCCGGTCCTCTGGGAGACGCCTGGGCAGGAGGAGGTCGTGTCTTTATCCGAGGAGATACCAGAGTGCTCCCTCTCGATCTCCTCTCAGCCCTCCCCAGCCCAAGCCCAGCCCATGTCTGTCTCTGTCCCATGGCCACGTCAGGGCAAGTCAGGAAGGGACACAGTGTCAGAAACCGACTATGCCGGCACCTTGACCCTGGACATCCAGCCTCCAGAGCCAGGAGCAGTCACGCTGTTGTTCAAGCACCCGGTCCGCGGCACCCTGCGACAGCAACCCGAGGGGACCGAGGCAGGAACGACTTTGAACAGGCACTCTTCTGGACAAACAGAACACGGGGAGCTGAATGTCACATGAGCTGAGCTCCCCACACAGCACCATCTACTAAATATACCTGCCAGATCGTTAGCCCAAACCTGGGCCGCTCAGACCTACCTTCCCCGGGGAGATGCTCCTATGAGGAGACGCTCAACCAATTCCAGAAGGTGGGAAGGTCTACGAACTAACTGGCCCGATGTCTCTTACAAAGTCAGCGTCTGACAACCCAGATGTCACACAGCTGAATGGATAAACAGCGTGTGGTCCGTCCACACAACGGACCAATGCTCAGCCATAAAGACAAATGAAGCACTGACCCAGGCTTCAACACAGTGAGTCTCGACACGATGATGCTCGGTGACAGAGCAGGTCACAAAGGACCACTACGGTATGGGTTCCACCTACACGAGACAGGTGGAAGGTGCCAGGGGCTGGCGGGGGCAGCGGTAGGAGGAAGGCTGGGAAGAAATAAGTATGGGGCTTCTTTTGGCAGGAGTAAGAATGTTCTAGAATTGACTATAGAGTGATGGCTACACATACGTACATGAATACACTAAAAGCCACTGAACTATACACTGCAAACGGGTGAATTCTACCCAATAAAGCTGGTATGTTAGAAAATGAAACAGAGATGGGAAGAAGTGTTCTAAGTTAAAAGAGAACCGAGGTGTAACACTCTGAGGTGGCACGTGGTCCCAGACTGGCCTCCAGCAAATGTAATTCACAGACACATTTTTTGAGTCACTGAGGAAGAGTGGAAGGAAGATAGGCCACTAGCAGCTCAAGCGAGAACCCTGTTCTCTGGGGTCTGGGGGCGCCCCTGGCGTCGGAAGGCCATGCAAGGCGGCCCCAGGGTGGCATTGTGACACGCGGTGTGGGTCACGGAAAGCCCAGTAGCAAGACAGCAGACGCAGGTTTGGTGCAGCGCGGCTCAGTCGAGCCGGTGAGCGAGCAGCACACACCGGGTCAGCCCTTCCAGCTTCCCAGAGCATCTGGAAATTTCACAACAAGCAGTTGTAAACCTCACTCGGACCTGGGCAGTCAGCCGGTGAAGCAGAGTATCTCTCAGAAAGACAAGGGATAGACCCCACGGGCTCTCACACATACGTGGAATTTAAGAAACAAAACAAAGGAACAAACAAAACAACAGATTCCTAAGTATAGAACAAAGCGGTGGCCGCTGGGGGGGCGGGGGGAAGAGTGCACCCGTCACGGGGGCGGGGGGGGCCAGTGAGCCCCGCGGAGAGATCCGGACTCAGCACACCGTACCTGAAACTAACAGACCACCGCACGAGAACTAGATTTGAACATAAACAAACAAAAACTTTTTTTAAAAAAAGGTTCTTAGCAGCCCCCAAAGAGCAAGTCTGACCTGGGCTGTCTGTGTGGCGGCTGGCAAAGCTGAGTATCTGTTGGCAGAAGTGTCTCCGCTCCTCCTCCGTCAGGTGGTGGTCGCTGGCCAAAAGGCTACTGGTCTGAAGGTAGCTGGGGGGAGAGTCAAGGGGTCTGGCAAAAGGACCCCACCCTGAGTGGTGCTGGGCGCCTGCGGCTCCATGGTCCGCAGGGCCTCCAGGGGCAGCCCAGTGGGGACTCTCCCTTTTGTCTCAGTTATTAGGAACTCAGAAAGGCCGGACATGTGGACGAGGCACCTCACTTCCATTGACACGGGACAGCAGCGCAAGGCAGGCTTTTTCCCTCTATGAGGTGCTTACTGAACACTTCCCGTGGGCGCCGCTGCCTAGGACAGACAGACAGACAGCACGTCTCGCACTGCACGCCAACGCCACACTTAAAGGATACTTCTCAGTCTGTCCGAGATGCTTCTGACATTCGGCGAGCTGCTTCCTTGTGTGAGTGATCGGGAGAGCCCAGCCCTCGGCCAGGTAATTTTTCAGTGCTCCTTGAAGATAGATTTCTGCCTTCTGCGGAGACTTCTTCCTCCTTGCAAATCGACAAACAGAAGCTTTCGTCACGGTTCATGGCCACCACGACCGGCCCGCCACCTTCTACACGCGCACACCACACCACTGCACCATCCCAGTCCTTCCCTGACGCTCCCAGGGGAGGGTGTGCAAGTGGACCCCACAGCCGCGCTCCGATGGGCCCGCACGGTGCGCCCGGCATCCTACACTCGCCGCAGAGCTTCCACAGGGAATCTCAGCAGGAGGAAGTAAAGGCCACGGCTCAGTATTTTGAGCTGAACCACAAGGACAGCAAGGGCAGAGCAAGGTGGGGCCTGCACACAGGGACACAGCCCGTCAGCCAGGGGAGCCTGAAGTCCGCACCTGGTGCCGCACAGCGCCGTCCAGACGGCCCGACGGCGAGTGCAGCTGGGAACGACTCGGAAACCCAGGGCAGCAGCCCTGAGCGGCCTTCAGAACGTTCCAGAGAACCACGAAGAGTTTAAAGAGCCATACCTAGCACCCAAGAGATGACCTTCCAGTCCCGATTTCGACCTTCAAGCTGTCCAGAACAAAACCAAGTTTAAAGCACAACTGAGGAGAGCCAGCTGAAGCCTCAGGGACGCACGGGACCCATGCCCCCTGCGGGGCCGCCACTGAGCGCGTGGACGGAGGCCGACACGGAGCCAGCGCTCGCCCCTTCCGGGCTCCCTGGGGGGATACCCCTCTGTGCTCTGCGCTACTCTCAGAGAGATGAGAGTTCTACGCGCCCGCGTTTCAAAGGGGTCAGAAGCTTCGATTCTTCTTGTTACTGTCTGTGGCCGAAGACTCTCACGTTCCAGAGCAGGGGCCCTAAAGGCCGTCCCTCAGCCCCGCGAGACGGGAGGCCAGCAGCCCGCCGGCGAGTCAAGCCGGAACCAGGACCCGAGGCTCCGATGACCACGCCAGTGCCATACCCCGGGGCTGAGAACGCACTGGCGTCCACGCAGGCTCAGCTCCCAGCAGCGGAGGATGCGGCCCTCTGGCCCACGGACTGAACACGCCTCCGCTTCCCCACACGGACACTCAGCTGTGCCAGTCCGAGCCCTGACTGCCCATCACCGGGCGTGTGACTGTCCAGCTGCCCCAGCCACGTCTGGGAAGCCAGCAAGCTCACTCAGAGGCTCCCAAACCCCTGCGCAGCTGCTTGTGTCAGTTCAATATTCTTTTGGTCTCAGCTAATAAAAGTACTTCAGTACAGATGGCCAGGTAGCATTTCAAGCACACACTCGAGAAGACTTAAGCGTGTCTTCCCTTCGAATTTCTACTCCTTTCCAGGGTTCTGAATGCCAATCACACGGCCAGCCAGGCTTTCTTCCCTTCGGTAGGCTGATTTTATCAAACCCGTGAGAAAAACGCGAAGTTCTGAGTCTTCTCTCCAGCACCCACAGTGGGGGTGAGCCTGGGGACGTTCGCAGCCTGTGCACACCATCGCCCCCTCGGCCCAGAGCAGCCCACTCGTGCGCACAGAACACGCGCAGGGACTGTAGTCGCTGAGCCCCAGGCTTTCTGTCTGCCCATGAGGCAAGTGACGCGAACCAGAGAAAATGCCACAGGAGAGACTATTTCAGAATCTGCACCCCAATTTATGCCACGGGATAAAAACTCCCATTTCCTCCCAATCCTTTCATTAAATAAAACTATAATACTAGCTATCATGTATGTTTTAACACCACCTGCATATAGAAGTACGTTATAGTGGGGCGCCTGCGTGGCTCAGCGGGTTAAGCCTCTGCCTTTGGCTCAGGTCATGGTCTCAGAGTCCTGGGATCGAGTCCCGCATCGGGCTCCCTACTCAGCGAGGAGCCTGCCTCCCCCTCTCTCTACCTGCTGCTCTGCCTGCTTGTGATCTCTGTCAAATAAATAAATAATATCTTTTTTAAAAAGTACATTACATTAGTTTAATTAAATAAAAGAAGCAAAGATCAGTGACAGGTATTGAGGGTAACAAGCTGACAATCTCTCCCTGTGGTTTTCAGGAGAAATGGAGAAACTGACGCCAGCGGGCTGAGAGGTCCTGCCATTTTTCATTCTACACATTTATGAACCTTCACAGTAACCCCACACGACAGACCCTCTCGTACTGCACACGGACTTGTCTAAACTCCAAGAAGCGCGCATGGTCAATTACATGTAAAACTCGGCCAGGTCCTTCCCGACGAGCCTGGCGGAGCGGGTCCTCCCGACGCTCGTGTGCATCTCGATGGCGGCGTGGGACAGGTCCTGTGGGAAAGGAGACGCCCGCGTCAGCCCGAACTTCACCACCGGACAAATCTGACACTGACTCACCGATGCTGAAGCAGAAGACCTTGTTCTCAACATTACTATTCACCTCGCATCTGCATTCGTGTTTTTACGGAACGTGTGATTTATACAAAGTCGTTCACGTGCACACAAATTACAAAGCGTACTAAGAACCGAAACACAAACTCGGCGGGCAGAGAATATTTAACTTCTCGAGGTACTTTCCGAACATGGGCAATATTTTTACGATTTTTCTCACGTTTTGGGTAACAGGGACAAAAATGCTCTCTCAACGGCTCCCAGACTCCCCGTGCATCAGGAGTGCAGCCAGCCCCCCAGCTCCTGCCCCACTGTGCTTCCCACGGGCTCTCCGAATCGAAATCTTTTAAAAATCAAGCACAACACCTCGGTTCAAGTCTAAAGCATTTTTTTTGTACATAGAAACCCATTCATTGCCATTCCTTACAATTCCGAGTCTACTGAGCGAGCACCGCCACTTGGAACAAAATTATAGATGTGCAAAGATGCTCTTAGGTCTGCTTACGGCACCAGGACACAAACGCTTCACGAACAACAAATATCCCGGTGTCGCCTGCGGTCCCTTGGGCAACTCAGAGAAACACAACGGCCAGTAGGAGGTGGTCCCCAGTACCATCCCGTTCCCTAGCGCGAGGCCACGTCGCCGCGGAGTCCTGGAGAGGCCAGGCTGTGCCGGGCGGGCAGGCGCCGCGCGATACTCACTAAGTAGTGCTTCTCAAAAGCTTCTACCGACGACAGCGCTTCTCGGAGCTTCTTGTAAGGACTCTGAGCTGTGTCGGCTTGAACAAAAAGAAGAAAGCGTCTACGCATCCTCTGTGTGAGGTCACAAGTTCACATTCACCCTCTAATGCCACAGCTCGGGGCTTTGCCCGCTGCCTGGGGAAGTCACCAACAGCCACGCACCCGGACCCACGTCACTACCTCTGTGCTTGGCCGAGGAGGACAGCCACGACAGACTCTAAACCCCGCATGTAGTATTTCATTCTCGAGGAGGACTAGAGTTCGTAATTCCATTGCTTCCGCAGTCTACGGCCATACCACCCTGAACGCGCCTGATCTCGTCTGATCTCGGAAGCTAAGCAGGGTCGGGCCTGGTTAGTACTTGGATGGGAGTCCGTTGCTTCCGCAACAATCGCACGTGTCTCGGGCTGGAGCCCGGCAGTGTGAGCATCACACGTCCCCCCAGTGCTCGGGGCCGCAGCAAGGCTCTGCCCACATCTCAGTCCTATCGCTCGGTTTCCACCTGTGAGAACCGGCAAGGCTCCTTCCACAGGGCTCTCTGACCTATGAGTAGCTTATGGGGTAAAAGGATTTGTCCGACCATGCGGCTCTGAAACTAGATCCCCTGGTATTCAGAGCGACACAGGTGCACCCTAACGGCACACAGGCCGCAGAAAGTCATGATGGGCTTGTGTAAGCCTGTGACAAACTCAGAAGAATTTTTTAAAACCCTTCCAATTTCTTAAACTATGTCTAACATTTCTTTACTTTAGTAAGAGATAAATAACATCTTACATATTCATGTGGTCAGCTAACGAGAGTAATTTCCCAAAGCAGGGGGCGATTTCATGGTTAGAACTTGAATTAAATGAGCCCGATACAACCGACACTCTCATTCCTCTCCTCTCTTCCACTGCACAGACACACATCAGAACGTACCTGTTTCGGGTCGCTCAGCTCCCAAACCTGCCAAAAGATCAACAATCCTGTTGAGGTCCTCTGAGTTAGGGCCTTCCTCTGACACAAGGCCACACAGGTAGCCCAAGGACTTTAGCTGTGGAGATAAACCCACAATTTCAAGTAACTGGCAACAACGGTCAGCAGAGAGTTTTTGAATCTGAATATAAAAGTAAAAATCCAACCAAATTCTAGAAGAAACCTAGCCTTCCGATCCGAATAATTCTCACCTGCACACAAAAATGCATCTCACGGGGACCATTTCGCCCTCACACGGCCCGCACGGCAATTCTGAGTGACCGGGGGCTGCTGGTCTCAGCTTAACGCTGCTCACCTGCCTGCATGGTCCCAGGCTTTCGAGGCCCCCTGCCCAGTCTGCACCCCGCGACCTGACACCAGCGGGCCATCTGCTGCACACACCGGGTGACCGTCTGGCACTCAGGCAGAAGACACTTTCATTTCTACATGACGCTTCCCACGTCCCCCTTCTCTGACCCCCCCCATGACGCTTCCCACGTCCCCCTTCTCTGAACCCCCCCATGACGCTTCCCACGTCCCCCTTCTCTGAACCCCCCTCCAACTCCCGCCTCAATTCCTGGTGCAGAACGTCTTCGGCACAAACAGGGCAAGTGCTTGGGTGTCCGCTGAAGAGTGACACTGGCAGGGAGCCATTCTGTGCCTCCCGACTACGAGATCGCCCAGAAGTGACTGGCACGGCCCATGCAACGACTCAGCGAACCACACTCCTCCAGACAGCGTCCTCTGGCCACCCGCCCGGGGGCACAGCCCAGGACAACACGCTCGCCTGCGTCCGCGCGGTCACCTTTTCGGTGGCGTAGCTCCACAGGCCCACCGTGTGGGCGACGTTCGAGTCGATCTGTGCGCGGTCGCAGCAGCCTTCGATCCTCTGCAGCACCTCCAGGCAGCTGAGGAACACCCAGCAGTCCAGAGCGCCGGGTGGGACGGACACCTGGAAGGTCCAGCATGGGCTGAAGACAGAGCCGGAGGGAGACACCCCCGCCCCGCGCCCCAGCCCCGCGCCCCGGCGAGCCCCTCCCAGCACCGACCCGGCCCAGTGCGGCCGTCTGGGCGGCTACGGGAACTAACAGAGCACATGACCGTGACCGCGTCGGTCTGCCTCCGGAGAGGAAAGGGGCGATCCACGTTCAATCACGGTTTTGGGTTTTATGTTCCCAATGATAATGAGAGCCTTGGGAGGGACGTGACTTTCAGTAGGATGTTCTGAAAAGCTTGAGAAAAGGCGGCTGCAGAGAGGGCTGACCATCACCTCTGACTCTAGGTCTGAAGGGCACACATCAGGAAGGGCAGAAGCTGGCACCTTGGGACGGCACTGGGCCCATTTAGGGAGGACCACACTCAACCCGTGAGCCCGGAGCCCGAGACTGCTATCAGGTGACGCGCATCATCTAATCCGTTCAGTTTTCAGGTGTGATTATGTCTAAAAAACGGGCTCCTTTGGCCAGACACACACTCTGAACCATTACCCTCAATCATAAACATGAGGGCTCAGATCTGCCTGAAAATAACCCGTAGAGAGGGACCGCACAGAGGGACGCCGATAAAGAAGAGAACGGTCACACAGGGTGGCAGCTGCTGCACAGGGGGTGGCGGACCCCGAAGTCCATCACGCTACCCTCCCCGCCGCCGCACGGATCCAAGCCCTCCCAGTACAAAACGAGCAAGGGAAACGCTATGTTATTGCAAATACACAAAGCGCCTATTGTCCACGTCTGATTCGAAGATGCACTTTTCCCCGCAGTAAAGCATGTCTGAAACAGGATCGTGCCTCCGTCGGCGGGCCTGACGGCTTTCCTGGCAGGACGAGCCCCACGAGGGACCTTACAGCCAGTACCCCAGTCAGGACTCCAGAACCGGGTCACCTGAAAAGGGACGCTGCCCAGTGCTGACGAAAGACTCCTCTGACATACCCTTAGCACTGAGCACACAAACACAAGGACCCACAACCAAATGGAAGGAACCGGAGTGTCTACATTCCCCAAAAGCCAAAATGCCGCGGCTCTGCAAAATGAGATAGACGACTTAGATCCTTCCAGAAGAAAAATGGGCCTAGAAACCATTTACACCATCAGAAGCCCCTCCGGCCCAGACAATGGGCCACACGCCAGGGGTGCAGAGAGGAGCTACTTGGCAGGATGCAGCCTGGGGACGAGGACAGGGCACGTCCCTCCCTCCCCAGTCACAGCAGGGCGGGCCCTCTTGGCTCCCGGGTACCGCCCATTCTGGGGGCCAACACCTCACAAGACACTCATCACAGGTGCCTGTTCCGCAGAAGCGTCTCGTCGGGCGCACACTCGTTATCGGCCGACCAGAGTACAGGGAATGCACCAAGGCTACACACGGGGCTTTAGACTCAGATGATCCCAGAGACAGAAAGGGGAAGACCCACAGCCAGAGCAGGGAGCAGCCGCAGAGAGGGGCCGAGGGGGGCACTGAGAGGGGCCACAGCCGGGAGCAGTGGGAAGGACTGCAGGGGGAACACGGGGAGGGGCCGTGGGGCAGTGGACATGGAGGGGCCCGGTGCAGGCTGGCAGGTTTCTGGGATCCGAGCATGTGTGGGCCGCTGTCCCAGAGCAGGGAGAAGGGGTAGCAGCAGAGAACTGGAGAGCAGGTCCCGAGAGCAGGTCCGGAGGGCACATCCCGACACGCGCAGGCTCCAGAGAGGCCCACGCCATGACAGGAGGCCCTTCTCTGGGGAACACCGTGGACTAGACACTTCACTTTCTGCAAAACGCAGGTGCCACCTTGGTGAGCCCCGGCAAACGGTGCAGGGAAAGCGGAGGCGGCGGTGGGAGCAGCAGCTGTGCGAGGGGCCGAGAACGCACAACCACCACGGACCAACCTCCATGCCACAGGCGGCAGCGCGACGGGAAAGGATGTGGTGGGCAGTGGCTGCGGGACAAGGACAGAGGAGCACCTCGTGACTGGAGGTACCCCAGTGACTGCTGGTTCCGGTCCCCCTGGGGGATCCCCAGGCACCCCGGTGCTGACAGCTCCCTGGCCAGGCTCGGGCTCCCCCAGTGCCACTTGGGCCCATCCGCAGCCTCCCCCTTTGGCCACCACACGCCACCAAAGCTTCTGCTGAGAGACACCAGCCTAGGGAGGGAAACGAGGGAAATCCTCTTCGGATTTCTTCTGGTTTGTGAGAACGGGTATGAAAGTAGGTCTTTTGTGAAGGTGAAGCGGTATAAAGCAAACTTTCTCTTCTTTTTTCAAAGATTTTATGTATTTGACAAAGAGAGACACAGCGAGAGAGGGAACACAAGCAGGGGAGTGGGGAGTCGAACACAGCACGTGTCGACGGACGGGTGAGAACCCACACTAGTGCGGGAGGAACCCAGATGCTGTAAACGGGACTGACTGGACGAACGCACGTCCTCTGCAGACCGAGAGGCCCAGCCGCCGCTCACCTCCCGCGGTGAAAAGCAGCATTCTATCTTCAAATTCATAGACAACATACTCAATGTTCGGTAAATGGAGGGCTTTTTTTTTTTTTTTAACATTGTAGAAAAAAAGAAATACTCTGAGCATCATCTGAGCTCACACAGAGCTGCGACGCTCCGTGGGTGTCCGTCCCGATCCCTAACAGCGGCACGCGGCCGGCAGGTACAATTTCCAGAATCGGGGCAGCTGGCCCGAGGCTCTTCCCTGGCACAGATGGCCGGGACTCCGGGTCCCACTACAGAGGCGGCGCGTGCTCCCCCGGCCCCCGCCGCCACGTGGCCTCCTCTCAAAGAAGAGACTTGAAACCAATGGACGAGTCAACCAGGTTACCAGTGCGTGTCTTACAAGCCACAAGAGCAAACGTACACAGCCTGTTCTGCTACAGAAACGTCACATTTAGAAGTGCACGAAAGGCTTTGGGCTTGAAAGGTCAACCGAGGAAGCTGAACCCTACGAGAAGTACCCACGGCCCCAGCTGCCGGAGCCCCCAGCCTCCCCGTCCACACAGCTCTCCCCCGCCCGTGACGGCACCACGCCCAGCCCCCTCAGGCCTGTGTCAGAAGCCACAGCTCCACACCTCCGATATAACTCTGGAAAACAGCCACCAAAAAGCTGCCCCGTCACCACAAAATGCGTCTGTTTTTTCGAGTAAAGCTAAACGTGTAAAAAATGTAAACAGTCTGGGGTCTGCTGAGTTTTGAATGTTTCCACACAAAATTTAAAAGAAACTCTAAGAACACACTTTTCCAGGTAACTGCCGCCTGAAGATAAAACAACGCCCCCCCCAGAAAGAACCCCCAGAAAGAAAGAGACGAGAGAGCGGGGAGTGATTTTGCGCCCGAAGTCCCACACAGCCTCCGCAGTCTGACGACGGCGCTGACACGCGCGCGCACGGACGCCCTGTCCTCGGAAAGAAACGGTCGAGAAGACGCCAACAGGGACGGCCACGCGAGGACCTGACTGGCACGAGGGTGACGTGCGGGAGGCAGCGTGCGAATCGGCTCCCCGGACCCACTCCGCCCCACACGGCAGCCACAGTTTGCCTCCGTCTCATGGATGGAAAGGGGGGCTCGAAGGAGCAAGTGAACGAGTCATGGGCCCTGGCGGGGGGGCATGGGGTGGGGAGGGGTCTCAGCGCAGACCGTCTGGCTCCAGAGCCCACCCTCCATGCTAGACTGTCTTCCTAAAACCTGTCCCTAAAGGAACCTGACGACCAGATGAGTCCCACTACTGGGACAGCAGAGAGGCCAGGAAGCAGCTCCCAGCAAAGGGCCGCGAGGGGACAGCATTGACGTTGGGTGCCGACCACACACGAGAGCAAGCGTTCGGCGAGGACCGTGCAGGCTCAGCCGTGGGACAGGCGGAGTCGGGTCACAGAGCAGGTCGGCAGCTCGTGCCCCGGGAAACTCACCAGGCCCGGCGCATGGCCGGGGCCCAGCTGCTGTCCACGGCACTCACGTGGCAGGGACACCGAGGACGGCACACTCACAGGGCACCCCCCCGGCCGCGGGCAGCACAAGGAGACCAGGGAACAAGAAGCTGGTCATCAGGACGGAGCAAGAGAGAGCAAACACCGGGTAGCGTGTCCTCACCCTGAACTCAGCTCTGCTCAACGCATCTGGGGCAGACACAGCAAACCAGAAAGGTGCATGGTACCACCCACGTGACTCCGTGGGCGGCAGCCCCCTCTCAGGGAACGGTCCAGGGGACGGTGACCGCTGCCCTCGGAAACGCACAGCACCCGGGGAGAGACTACTGCCCCGGAGGTGAGGATCATCCCACAACGCGAAGCGCGGGCAAGGCCCCAGGGAGCGTCTGCACTGAGGCCGAGAGCCTGGACATTGGGCTGCGTCACGCCGACACGCCAACCTGGAGCCTTTCCCAGGAAGAGCCCCTCCACTTGCTCCGGGCGTGCTTCCCCGGCCAGCCGAGGGGGCAGCAAGGACCCGTGTCCATGCACTCCTATGTGGCCAGAGGCGGCAGGCAGCTCAGGAGATGAGCCAAGGCGGGCAGGAGAGCCAGCGGTGTGTGCTGCTCGGCCACGAATGAGTGGAACACCACACGTGTCCCCACGCAGCCTGCCTGCCCCGTCTGGACATGCCAGAGTGACAAGGGATCCACATGAGGACGAGGACGCCTGTGAGCAGGCATCAGAGAAGAACGCCTCCCCGCTCCTCCCCTAGGTCCCCAGAGGCCTCGAAGGTCCGGGGAGCTGTATGAAACGCATCCACAGCCTCCCTAGGCCCCTCCCCCCAGCTTCCAGAACGCTTGGCAGAGCGGCAGGAGGTGGTGGCAGGGCCCAGCTGGTTCCCTGCAGGGTCAGGGGTCCCGCGTGGCGACACCGGTCACGGGCAAGGCTTCCTCTCTTGTCCGCAAGCTGGCGGCTACACTGTGACCAGGCCACTTCCTGGGGCGAGAGGAAGAATTCCAAAGTCTAACTTGAGTCTAACGGGTTGTGACCGGCGGGGCCCAGCACTAAGGGGCAGGCCCTGCACCACCACCCAAGCCCCGGGATGCAGGACAGTGCCTCCGAATGGACCCGCCCGGGGCCACCCTAGTCTGAAGGTGCTGCTGGTGACCCGCCTGGGACCGCACCGGACACCCTACTTCTGCCCCCACACGCTAAGATGACAAAATCCCAGGCAAAATGTCTCGGATGACATTTTGAACACAGGCAGCCCTGCCCTCGCGGCCCCCGGCTCTGTACAGCCGGATGGGAGTAACCGAAGCAGATCGTCCAGGTCTACGCGGTGACACGGCGCCACGGAGTATCCTTCCGAGGTGCAGAATCCTTCCCTCGTTTGCCTCCTTAGGTATCCTGGCCAGACGGACAGCTGGACGCAAATTCCGACTCTCCTCAGTTTGCGCTCAGCTGGGCCAGGCATTCCTCCTTTGGAAATTAAATGAAGTAATTTCTCTCCGCTTGGGTAAAACGACATTTCTACCTCCTAAGATTCTTCTGAACTCAGCTCTGAGCCTGTTCCTCAGCACTCCAGGGCACAGAGCACGAAGGTTACCCGGTCGGGGAAGACCACCCCACCCGGGTTCGGCAAACACAGTACGGCCGTGCTCACCCCACCCGGGTTCGGCAAACACAGTACGGCCGTGCTCACACCTTCTAACCTGCACCTCTCGGGCACACTGGCAGGGGCACAGTGGAGAGAACGCGAGCCCGACCCTGAGACTGGTCACGTGGCTGGAGGAGTCACTGCACCACTTCCAGGCCTGCCACCCCCTTTGGAAAAATGGACTCAGACCGCTCCCCTCGCTCCGAACCCGGGAACGGGGTGGGGTGAGGTGGGGATGTCTGTGAACCCCGAGACCTCTGGCAGAGAGGTCACTGAACAATTAATGGGAGACCCCAACCCCGCCCAGCGCAGACCATCACGGACGTTCCCGTACTTCGCTAGATCGCCTGACTCCTTGAGCGCAGGAGCCCTGGCAGGGACCGATCCCTAAAGACCCCGCTCCACCACTGTCGCACAGTGTCCAGCCTCATTCATGGGTTTCATTCATACATGCGCACACATGTGCCCGTCGTGAACCCTCCCGAACCTCCGTGCTAGTAATGCCCGCGTGCCCAGCTGTCACCCGTGTGTCCACGTGCAAAGCCAAAAGGCAGCTCCAAAAGCAGGCGAAGGTCCGCCTCCAGGGCCTCAGGCTGCGTGTGCAGCACGGGAACCGTCTTCCTGGCGGATAAAGCCCAAGTTCTCCCAAAACTTCCACAAAGACCCTGATCTAAGAGTCCTGCCCTGGGCCAGTCTGGACTCCCCCATGCTGAGAGCAGAAATGACACTCGCGTGATCAATCAGCAGAGAGAGTAACTCTACGATTAACAGGACTCAGAGAAGAGCTCCTTCCTGCAGTGCGAGCAGCTCAGCGCCCAGGCATCGAGTCCCGAGTCCGCGTCTGAACAGGGGAGAGGTGGGCAAGCAGGGGACACTCACCTCCAAGAGCTTGAGCTCCTGCACGCAGCTGTGCAGCAGCTCCAGGGCGCGCTGGGCCACCTCCCACGGCCTCTGCAGGAAGAGCAGCAAGGTGCACTGGCGAGAGAACAGGTAGCTGCGCAGGTCCAGCAGCGTGGCCTCCTGCCTCTGGATCAGCTCGCGCTTCTCCATGTCGATGGGCTTCCGGAGGATCAGCCCGTTCCAGCTCCTCACCGGCTCACAGAAGAAAGTCAGCCAGTTGGCACCATCTAGACAAGCACACGGCATGAAAGGCGCGGACTACAGATGACCTCACCTTCCCGCGATTCCCGCTCGGGGCTGTGAGAGCTCCTGCGGGGTAGTTCCCACAGGTACTCCCACCCAGCACGCGGCAACTGGTGATGGGCGCAAGGCAACATGACCTGGGCCACCAGGCACGGCGCCGTACCACGCCCAGAGGGTCATGACCAGGTGGGGAGCTGCAGACGGCCGGGCTAGGAGGGCGGGGAGGCCTCGGGCTCCGAGCTCAGTGGGCTCCGACAGAAGGCGCCAGGCCTGGGCTGGAGCGCACTGGGCCAGCTGCTTCTGCCTGGGTGCCAGAGCGCAGTCCGTTCACGGGAGCGCGCTAGTCTACCTCGCCCTTCCCTTCTCCCTCCCTACGGAAGCCTCACACCTATCTCTGTCTCAGCCCTGTCAGCTACCTGAATCATCTCCTGGAGAAAAGGACAGCAGGCACAAGGAAGAAGTAGTAGCAGGAGCAGAAGGGGAACATTCCTGCTCATCAAAAATTTCCAGCGAGGCTCCCCGATTCGAACTTACAGCCCCAGACTCAAACATGGCCTTAAAGTAAGTGTAAGAGCCCATGGGAACGAGTCACTCGAGCCACAGGGCAAAAACTGAGTCTACTTCTCCCACCCCAAAAGACAGCTGTCGCGCCCCTCACGCCGCACCGCCACCAGGAAGCAACCCGGTATTGGCACAGTGACGCCGCCGAACACTCCGGGGCTAACAGCGCCTGCTGACTGGGACTTGCACTCGGAGCCGCTCAAGGCCACACCCGGGGGCGCCCACCCCAGCGCTCACGGCACCTCCGCCGGCAGCCCCTCCTCGGGCCCTCCGCCCAGCGTTCTCCGGGCTCCCTCTCCCATTTCACTCAGGCCTCTGTGTCAATGCCACCTCCTCAGAGAGCCTCCCAGACCACACTAAGACCGCCCAGCACCTTCCACCACACTCTGCCCTGCACCCGCAACGCCTTCTGAGGCCTACACTCATTACGACGACCGGACGTGAAGTTTCCTTTTTTCCCTACACCTGTGTCCCCTTCACACACGCTCCAAGAAGGAAGGGGCCTTGTTTTGTTACCTACTACATTCAGAACAGCACCTGGTCAACCGGGACTCTCACTAAGCATCCGTTAAAGGAGCACAAAAACGATCTTAGCATCCACCTGCTAAGAGTGGGTCCAGCTTACCTTTGCATTCTCATTTGTCCCAGATGTTAAAACCGAAAGAACAAAGAAATTATGCAAAATATGATGTAAGAAACATGTAAGACATCTAAACACGTTATAGTATGGAGATGCAAAATATAATTTCACCCCTTCTCACATTTTTCAAGTTTAATTAGTAAATACTTTGCCCTGGTTATGCCTACATTCGTGCCTCTGCAAAGTAAGAGATGCAAATCTGAACTTCCTAGAAACTGGTCTGGAGAGAAAACCAATCGGAGTCGTTCGTCCTCATCTCTATCATTTCTAAAACAAAGACGGAGCCCAAGCTGACTGTCCCAGTGCCTCACCCTCCTACGGGTCTTCTAGCAGACACTACGGTTCCCTGAAATCACTCCTTTCTTCACAGGCCGTAGCAGGGCCCTCTCAGAAAGATCACCCCACAAAGACGTCTCTTTCCGCACTGTGGTGGCGGTCAGAATGGAAACTCCCGAACGTCCAGCAGCAAGGGGTGGCCGGATTAACCCTAAGGAATCCACACCAGGAAACACGATGCAGCTACAAGCGAAAGCACCTGAAGCCCTGATCTGTTAAGAGGGAACGACGCCACGACGGGCTGTCGGTACGAACAGTGAGCTACAGACAGACGTCTACAGGAGAGGACGCCACGTCCATCAAATCAGGCATCACCCAAAACACCCTGCGAACAATGATGATGAATTCTTTCTCTGCGTAGGGCTTCCCTGTGCTACTTCTGTACTTCTAAGATGAGACTGTGAAGTTGTAAAAGGAAGATGAACGCCCACGACGACGGTGCCATTTAGAACTCCGCCGTGAGCCTCACATGTTCCAAAGACAGCCCTCAACGGAGGCACGAGACTCCTACTCTTACTAGCAAGGAGGCCCAGAGGCGGACGCATAGCTAGCCAGCTGCGTGTAGTACAAAAGACTCTTTGTACCCGAATGACACCTTCTTCGAAAATGCTCTTCCTGCTTCAAACGCCTGTAACGGTGAAAACGACTAGCTCTGAGCTCTCGCCACGCTTCTACTTGAGCCGCGAGGCTATATCCTATAGCCCTGGCACAAAGCCATGAAAGTGATGTAATCGTTAGCCAAGCAAATCACGGCAGCTTCGAGACCACGTGAAAGCGGATCTGCTTCTAGAAGAGGGTCCGCGTCCGGCGCGCTACTCACCGCCAGCGCCGAAGTTGACGACATACTGGGAGAACAGGGCGTCCAGCTCGTCGTACTGTACCAGGGCGTCCTCAAACTGCTGCAGCATCTCGAATACGAAGGCAAGTTCTTCCTGGTCCCCCAAACAGAAGTTTTTTTAGAAAGCAAACACATCAGTCAACTTTTTGAAATGATATGCTGCTCTTAAAGATGACAACGGAGGAACAGCAGCACTGAAAGTAACACTTCACTCATTCCACACAGGAAACCTCAATTCCGTGACTCCACGGTGTTAGCAGTGACAAATGCCCAAAGGGGAGCCCGGAGGGAGGTAGGAACAGGCCACCGTGAGCCCTGGAACCATCCACGGCCCCCGAGCAGCAGGGACACGAGCAGGCACCCTCTGTCGCTGGCACGGCCCTTGCTAACTAGCACGCATCTATGTGCAAGAGGGGAACCTTCTCCGTCTACTGATCTAACCAGCCATGTCGAGTACGAGGGCTCGCAGATGTGAATTGTGCTCCATGGGCTAAAATCCAGCTCTATCGTTATTTTGTTATACAAACTGTTCCAGCTTGGCCATTAGGAGCCTCCTTTGGGTGGTGCCAACATCCTTTTGATGGACCTCCATCTTCCATCTTCCTTAATTTTCCGGGGAGTTTTATTCCTGGTCCATCTTCTATTTTCCCCACCCCAGCCCTGGAATCAATCACTTCTAGAAAGATCCCTGGCACTCATTATTAAGGATGGGGTTTAGAGGTGCCTGGAGGGCTCCGTAGGTTAAGTGTCTGCCTTCGGCTCAGGTCACAATCCCAGGGTCCTGGGATGGAGCCCCACATCGGGCTCCCTGCTCAGTGGGGAGTCTGTCTCTCTCTCTCCCTCTGCCTCCATCCCCCTACCCTGCTCGTGTGGTCTCTCAAATAGGAAGAAAAAAAAAAAGAATGGAGTTTAGAAACCAAGATCTTGGCACTCCGTGAGCTTACAGGACTGAGAAGTCATTCCTTCCTGGCCCAGTCAGAGGACAGAGCGAAGAAACACATGCACGTGTAACCCTCACACACGCACATCTCCATTTCTCAGATTCCCACCCCCACCACTGCGTTCACTTGGATTCCCCTGTCCTTGTCTGTAGCTCTTAGGAACCAAGTTGAATGAGCCTGAAGGGTGAAGGGACGGGGCCATCCGAAAGGTCTGTCACGGGTCAGTCCCACAGTGAATAGCCGACGGGTGCGACTCCCTTATGTGCACACGTCGCCAAGATACCACTAAGACATAAGCAACAGAGTCAGAGATAAGCACCAGAATTTCTAATCAAAATGGGTCTTTATTTGTTCAAAGTGCATTATTTCTTCAGTAATTTACACACAGGTGGAATTTAAATACGAAAATCAGGGTTTTTCTTCTGTCAAAATATGGTGAACAATAAGAAGGAAACCTAACGGCAACGTTCCTGTCACCCTTTGCAGTGTCAGCAAGGTCCCCTAGGAAGTAGCTTACGACTGTCCTTTATTGGAACCCGTGACTATGAAACAAGACAACGGGGGCGATACATGCTGCTGGGGAGTCACGGCCTACTGCCGGTGTCGTGCTGGGGCAGGCGCCGCCGTCCTCAGGACTGTCGCCGCTGCCAGCACTCCTCGGCCCCGGCCACCTCCACGGTGGAGACCCCAGAAGGCCCCACAAGTCAGCAAAACCCACACTACTCTGAGGCCATGGCCCTCTCACAGCAGGCCAGAAGCCGAGCTCGGGGGCCGCGAGAGAGCTGACAGCAGCGAGGGGCACCCGGGGGGGGGACCACCTCCGACCCACTCGAGAGCCCGCAGACGGAAACGTCTGTCGGCGACTGTGTCCTGTCCCTTGGGTTTTAAAAAACTACACCAGTAAGAATTACCACCGAACACCCACCTCACTGACCAAGACAGGAGCAGGAACAGGACGCGGTCCCATTCTACCCTCCGCCACGCACCTGGACCATGAAATAGTCACAGAAGCTCCAGCCTGGCTCCGTCCTCTTCTCCCTCAAGGTCCTCATGTCATCCTCAAACTTGCCGAGGTTTTTGGTAAAAGACATAAGAAGCGAAGTCCTGAGTTTTGTCAGGAAGGCATTCCAGGATTCCTGAGTTCGAGAAGAGTCCTTCAGGGGGTCGGAGAGCACGACACACCTGTGGAGACACAAACGGACTGTCTGGAAAATACTGTCCAAGCACAGCACGTGGTCCAACTGCTACTATTTCCCTGCGGTGCCAACCGCCGTCCTCCCCCACTTCCTTCCTCCCCTGGCTGGAGACAGACATCAGGCGGACGGTAAGAACCAGATTCGGAAGAGGCTGCATCAGAAGCTGGCTTAATGCCCCACGCGCCGTCAGCACCGCAGAAGGGCGGCTGGGAGAGATGGAGGACGAATCGGTCTCAGACCCGGCCTCCAGGGCTCCCGGGAGAGCAAGGTGACGTCACCAGCAGTCCCCAAACCGCACGTGGGCTGCCCGCCTCAAACACCGCTCTGGCTCCCGGAAGCTGACAGGACAGAAGAGCTCAGTTACGGGCACGGCTCAGGAGGGTCAGCACAGAATGGACCCAGCCTCGCTGTCTGCTCTGCTCCTGCTGTACCTGGCTGAGCCCACCCAACTTCTCGGGCTCTCCTCTCTTCATCTAGCCTGTTCCTACTCATCCCTCCAAAGCTCGGCTGACACATGTCCTCCTGGAACCTGGCCCCCGCAGCTCGGCCCCTGGGCCCCAGTGTGATCACACTCCCACCAGCAAGCGTCAGGCTACAAACACGTCCTCTCTGTGGGTCCCTCTCTCCCCAGACCCGAGATCCTGAGCACATGGGCAGGGCCCACAAAGAATTCATAAATGAAGCTTAAAGACTATAACATGTGGATATGATACAATTTCACTACAAAAAGAGGGCGGCTGGCCGGCTCCGTCAGCAAAGCGCGCAACTCGAGCTCGGGGTGGTGAGTTTGAGCCCCAAGTTGGGCACGGAGGCTGCTTAAAAAGGGGGGAGGGAGACCATCCGTGGTGTGGAAACATCAAAGGCATAAAATTACCAATTTCCAATAAATTTGGAAGAAACAATGTGTCCATCTAACACACTGGAAAAGCTAGATCTCTTTATCCTTGATAGTAATAATTTACAGAGAAAATGATTAAACATGGACTCATAAATAATTTTAAAATACTGGTGCTATAAGCTTCCATATCTTTCCTCAGTGAGTGCGTCGCCTTAATCACTAGAAGGAGCAAATGGGCAGATTCTAAGTCTCGTTAGCGCATCAGGCCCTTTGAGGGAAGGGCTCAGTCTCCAGAGTTACAAATCAGCAGAAAAAAATGTGATGTCGCTAGAGTCTGGACGATCCGCCAGGAATAATCAGTACCAAGAAGATGATCTAAAAAATGTAATTCCAGACATCCCACCCCACAGTGCTGGTTCTTCCCCTGAAAACAGAGGGATCCCACCAGCTCACTGCTATAGCCCCGGATGACTAACAAGCGTTTACTCACTACAGGGTCTGCTGGAGTCTGTCCGGTCAGCCTTGTATCCTTAAGCCCTTCTCAAGGCTGTGAACCATCGGCGTTTATCCCAGAATTCTCCCCTGAAACCAGACGGTGGAAGGGGGGGAAACAGCCACGAACCCCAACCAGAGACAGTCTCTGTGTCCCGTGAACTGGTGCTTACCACAGATTAAGTTCTCCAGCCCTTTATTGTGCCCTTCAACTTTCACTGTTTCTAGACCTTTCTATAACGAAAAAGAACTATGCTTCAGAAATTCGCATTAAGTTTGGACGGTTCACTCGGAAAGGCGAGCCCAAAAGAGCTGCTCAGACTAGGGGGCGCCCAGTGTGGAGAAGGGCCCCCTCAGAGTGCACTGGCGGCCTGGCGCCCAGGGCAGCCGCTCGCAGGGGCTGGTCCCCGCCAGTCAGGGGACCGCCGCTCACACCGGCAGCTCACGGGTCAGGTACAACATGGACAGCAACACTCACTAAAAGCCTGAAAAGTGCACAAAACCTTCAGCCAAGCAATCTTCCTTTTAGGGATGGATCTAAGGGAAGAACGATGGATGTACACAACATCCAAGTTCGAAAGATGTTTACGACACCGTTCATCCTCAGCGGTGACGTGTTGTCCAGCAGAGGACGGGGTAAACAGCTAGGGCGTCACCACTAGGGACTGTCACACACTCATTGATGGTAATGGCGGAGAAACACATCCATTGGTCATGGGAACATTTTTTAACGTATTAGGTGCAAAGCAAGTACAAAACATGCCACACAGTACGTTGTGGGCACACACGCTCCGTGGACCTGTGTGTGCGTAAAGAGAAAAAGTTTGACAAATAAGTACCAAATATGAACAGTTAAGATCTAGTTTCATTTGGCTTACTGCCTTCTTCTAACAATCCTATCATGAACACGCAGTGCTTCTAACCACAAACGATAAAGAAGACAGCAGGCTGCCACAGGGCCAAGTACGCCAATGTTTCCAAAGGCCGGAAATCACACTGGCTAATCAATCAGACAACTGTCAGTACAGAGGTTATCAAATTCGTACGTATGAAAACCTGACCCAGCTCTTTACTTTAAAAAATAAAGTACAGGTATGTTAAAGGTAGCTTGCAAATTAATGAAAATCCAAATGCTGGAAGGCATGTTTGTAGACTGAGATGAAATGTTTAAAAACTTGGTAAGTTAGATTCCACGTATAAAGGAAGAGTCATAAAAACAAGCTAGATTTCAGTGGGCTCAGCAGGAACATACCTTAAGCAATCAGATAAAATGGTAACGCAGACTTAAAAAAAATCAACGGGTACTGCGAAAAAAAATCCTCTAATCTGAACATGTCACAGGTTTAGACTAATATGCCCCATTAGTACCCATTTACATACTTAGTAAAATCCCACAGAAATGAGACGGAGGCCGTCAGTCAGCGTGCCCCGTCCCCCGCGGCCCCCCGCTGGCCACCTCCACCCCCCCCCACCGCGGCCTGCTCCTCCTCCTTTCAGAACAAGTGTGCCGGCACACCCGAACCACACAGGGTAGGACACTTGGTCACGGGGCAACTTGCTGAAATGTAAACAGATTCCTTTGTGGTAACTCCTTTATGAATAACAGGCCTTAGGAAAAAGTCCCCCCAAGTCCAAATGGCATGAAATTCCTTGAGGATAAACCAGAAACTCAACAATCTCATATTTATTATGTTTTATATAGGCTCACATTATGCTTTATATAAAGAAAGCAAGTTCGAACATGACTCTGGATCCAGAACCGTGTGGAACGTGGAAAGGAAGCCCAGGAAGGCTCCTTCAACAGAAGAACTGTCAGCTTACTGGGTGGCCTGACACAGGACACGGTCACAGCGCCGGCGGCTCTCCCGGCCGCACACCTGGGGCTCTGCCCACGCCCTTCCCACGAGCTCCAAGGTGCCCTTTGCCTCGTAGCCTCACCCCCTGCTGCCGTCCCTGGTCACACTCAGCACCGGCCACCAGGATGCCACAGGTGTGGGGAGCGGGGGTGAAACCGTGCCCCGTCTCTCCGGGAGGCCAACTGGACCAGAGCGGGGACCAGGCTGAGCGCTGCACCCCAGGCCCCGGGGGAGTCAAGGCACTGGCCTAGGGCCTACAGACTAAAGCCCCAGGCACCAGGAAGACTGCCGTGTGCATGGCGAGGCCCAGAACTGCTGACATGGCAGGGAGCTCCCTGGAAGACAGAACAGGGCCCCACAGAGAAGCAAGGGGAAAGGAAGGTGTGCAATAACGCAGCCACCCAAGCTTCGGGGCTCCCTCTTATAGATTCTGAAGATGAAATCAGCACTTTGGAATTCTTGTTCTGAGGAACTCGTAAGATGCGTTAAGGTGACCGAGGACAACACGGGGCCCCCTCACTAAAGGCGTGTGGGGAGCCCTGCTGCAGACAAGGGCCACGGGACTTCCCAAAGCCCCAGCTACATGGACGTGCACGCCGGCTCCTCAAGGGGGCACCCACCGTGCGGTCTCTCCCGCCGCGGTCACCCAGGCAGCGCATGGGGCTTGGGGGGCGTTAGGATGGACAGCACGTCACCCGCCAGAGCAGGGCACCCGGCCTCTCTCCAGCACCCTGCAGCCCCCGAGCTGGAGCGTCAGGCCCGCCACCACCGCTCACAGAGGCTGAGCTCCCACGCAGAGGGCAGAAAGGCCCAGCGCCCAGGGAGCAGCGAGTGCGGTAAAGATAAAGATACACTTACCTGTCACTCTGTTTATTACAAAAATCATTCCTTATTTTGTCCACAATGGAAGTTCGGGGAAGGATGTTGGTTTTGTTTTTTTTCTTGGCATCATTTTCAACGACCACTATGAGCCAGTCCACAGAGCTATGAGCTTTCAGAATATTCTGCCACTTGGTAAGGTCGTCTTTGACTGTAGCTTTATACACTTCAGTATCCTAAAAATAAATAAGTCACCGTGAAGGAAAGTTAATGAATGCCCTTCCATCTAACAGCGCAATGTGTCTAACAGAGAATACATCAGCCACAGCACTTTGGCGCGGGGCGCTGGGGGCACTCTGGGCAGGCCCGGTGGCACGGAGGCAAGACAGCTCCCATGTCATAGAGGAGGAGACTGACAGCGAGCTCGGTAAACTGGCCACAGCAACAGAGTCCGCTGGGCAAGCTGGGACTGGAAAACCCAGGTCTGCTCGGCCAGAGGCCTCGTGCCCAAGAACCACGTTAACCGCAGCCAGGCACGGGCACGGGGCGAGGCCGCACCTCTGCAGGAAGCCCAGGCTACCCCTGGGCAGGGTCCTCCGCGGCCCCGCAGAACCACTCTGACGCGAGGGCCACTCGCAGACCACAACAGGGGCAAGGAAAGAGCACAAGCTAGGGCTTCTGGGGAGTTGCTGTAATCCACAAGGGCTGAAGGGGGAACCATCCTGATCCTCAAAAGTCAATGCCACTTCGGACTCAGCGTCCCACACAGCAGCCTGTACAAAAGCCCATGAGCCTGCCTCCGACCACCCAGAAAGAAGTGGGAAGACAGCATCTCCCTGCTATTGGCCACCGTGGACAACTGCCCTTATGCTCCAGGATAATCTACTTAGCAGATCTGGAATGAAAATCTAAAACCAAGATACTTAATTCATACCCAAATCAGGCATTTAAAAACCTTTGCAAACTATCATTTATAGCTACTGTTTAAATATGTATACCCCCCCCTTTTTTAATAGAAAGATTCCTTGTTATCCTGCCCATGTTTTCTCTGGATTTTTTAGTCCCTCTTGAACATGCTAATGGGATCAATCCACGAATGAGAAATCTCCAATTCCATGCCCAGTCCCTCCTGCGGTTTAATTGGTAAGTGAAGAGTTCCAGAAGTGAGTACTTTTAATTTTTAGTCTGATTTTTAAAACTGCTATATCCTCAGTTTAAATTTAAAAATAAGTATATATATGTGTGTGTGTGTATATACACACACACACATATATAAAATAAAAATAAAACCTGGAAAGATCTTCTGCTGAAAAAACAAGGGGAAACCACCTTGTGAAGACGGATTTCCTGTGAGCTGCCCCCTCTGTACGGGCTGCCTCTACCTCCCCACACCACCGCTCTGTGGGGCTCTGGGGCCCACGTGCGTCAGGCCTACAGAGTGAAACCAGAGGCCACAGACCACAGCGGGGTCTTTAAAATCACACCACAGGGCCCAGGGTCAGGGAGCCCGAAGGAGCAGAGAAGCCCCAGAAGGCCAGCCCCAGTGCTGGTGCCAAGCACCCTCTGCCGGGCCCCAGCCCCGGCTCCCAGCTCTCCAAGCCAGGGAGAGGCTGCCACCCCGAGCGGACACCAGCCCCCCTCTTGGGAACGCTCTGATTGCGGCAGAGACCTGGCAGAGCAACAGCAAGGCAGAGTCCCCCAAGTTCTGGTGAGGTGAGCAGCATGTCACGTAGGCCCTCACGCGACAGTGACAAAACCATGGACGTTACCAGAGACCCAGTGACTCTTGAGAAGAGCCCAAGCTGAGCCGGTGGGGCTGAGGGTACGCGTCTCCAGGAAACACAGCCAGCGGCAAGGGAGGTCAGAAGGTGCCCACAGGCAGCGATGAGGAGGGCACCAAGGCGGGGAGTGGCCCTGCCTGGGCACCAGAGCCACACAGGGCAAGAAGGGCATCACGACACAAGGTGTGGAACCGCCAAGTGAGAGGATGAAGGACTGGGGGGCTGGCATGAGGTTTCAGAGGCCGAGAGGGGCAAAGAGGGCCTCCCTGCTGGGGTGACCTTCTCTGGGGTGTTGTGGTTCAGCCGAGGTAAGGAGGGAAGTGATCCAATGTGGAGCCCCGAGGCAGGGAGGGGGCACCGAGCTGGGGGCAGGGCAGCGCGACAGCAGTGACAGAAGGGTCCCTGACCGCAGACCTACAGAGCACAGTGAACGTCTCTTCTCCATGGAGAAGCAAGTCACAAAGGTGGACCAGGAGGACACGAGAGCCTCCCTGTGGTGCAGGGACTGGAATCGGACTGTGTGATGTGTGTGTGCATTTGCACAGACACCTAGAGCAGAAATAAACGTAAATGTGCATGGGCGGACAGCACACGGACTCCCCAGCTGCGCTGCCGCACGGCCGGAACCAAAAACACATCTACTCTGGGGCTGGGTTCTCACACGATCCCGCACTAATACAAACCTGCGCTCCCAGGGCTCAGGCAGAGCAAGGACAGGTTGACCTGGCCCGTCTCATGTCAAGGAGAGCTCAGAAAAGGAGGACACGTCAAAGGGTCATAGATGCCAAATCTGGACAATATGAGCATTGAAATCAATGCTGGTAGGAAAGGATTACGCTCCCCAAACCAGAAGTCAGGGGGCGTATAATACCGACATGGACCCACAAACAGGGCGGCTGCCTCCTGTGTGGCGACAGCCGAGGCAGGTGGTGGACGGACATGACCATCTGAAGCACCCAAAACACAGAAGTGGGTGAGGAGAGCCTGCAAGGGGCCGACGACTGCTTGGAGCTCCCAGCCCACAGTGCCGCAAGGGGCACTGAGGTCACGCCTGGCAGGTCCCCTGCACGGAGCAGACAGAGCACAGGGCCCTGGGAGCCAAGGACAGTTGACTTCACCAGAGGTCAGAGCTCAGAGGGTGCCCTGGAGTGCTCAGGAGGGGGCTGACCGGCCCACAAGTGTAAGACCCAAAGCCAGGCAGAGACCCACCCAGACAGGACTCAATACCCACACAGGCTGGGATCGGGGGAGGCTGGAAACCTCCAAATCCCCAGAGCACTGGGTGGAGACCTCAGGAAGGAAGGGATAATTAGTCTCGGATTGACCACAGATTCAGATCCACAGATCATAAAAGTGATACCCAAAATGATCAGACTTAAGTAATTTAATGACGCCAAGCGCAAATTCTCAAGGATCACAAAAATATAAGCACCGAACGAAAAAACTCATGGCGCTTGGCGTCCCATAAAAAATTATCAGGCAGGCAAAGAACGTACGATCCATGATGAGTAGAAAATCCTATCAACAGAAGAGACGTAGTAATGACACAAATAATAGCAGCAGTGACAAAACCATTAAAATACTCACTGTGACCACACTCCGAGTGTTCAAGAAGATTCCATCGGAGGAAAAACTGACATGAAGCAGAGACGTGGAAGATATTTTTAAAAGGAGGTAAAAACCCTTATGGATCTTCTGGAAATGAAAACCACGATGTCTAAAATGCCAAATACATTGAGTGGGAGGGATTAAGAGCAGATTAGATACTGCAGAAGAAACCATTAGGTAACTTGAAGACACAGAAGCAGAAACCACCCAAATGAAACAGAGAAAGACTGAGAAGCCAGCAACACAGTGTCACTGAGCCGTGGGACTTCCAGAGCCTAAGATGTGAGTAACTGAAGCCCCAGAGGAGAGGGGAAGAAGGGAGGAGGAGCACAACAAGTATCTGAAGAAAGAAGGACTAAAAATGTTTCGAATCTAAACCAGAACTACAAACCCACAAAGCCTGAAACACGGGAGGCACAAGAAACAGGAAGGGAAATACAGCAAGGCGTATCACAGATGGTTCAAAGCCAGTGACAAGGAAAAAAATCATAAATCACTGAAGGGGGACGGGGGAGGACACTTTAAATACAAAGTAACAAAGACAAGAACGAGAGACTCCTCCTGGGTCACGATGTAAACCAAGACAGTTGGAGGAGCATCTTTTACCTGCTGGAGAGAGCGAACTGCCAGTCCACAATCCTATATCCAGCAAAACACTTCGTAGAAGTCGAGGCCGCCTCAGACGCACAGACGCTGGGACAGCTCTCACCGCTCTAACCAGAGCCCTGGAAGGGGTGACTCAGAGGCCCACGTTCCTACCTCTAATCTCCACAACGCAACTGTTCAAAGCAAAAACAGGAACACCGTACTTCCGGATCCGTGACAAGACCAGTGCAAGGACACGAAGGTGCGCTCGCCCAGCCCGGGCTGAAGGAAGGAGGCGATGCTGCAGACATGCCCTAGAAACCTGGAAGCAACTACTAGCCTAACGCAGTTTTACTTTTAATTCTAAAATCCCCAATATTATCTGCTTTCCTTAATAATGATCAAAACTAAAGCAAAACGACAACAAAACACAGGCTTCCCATTAGAAAGTGTAATTTTAAGGGGGAAAAACCTTCATCCATAGTGTCTACAGAAAGTCTGTCTAGCACTGAAAATGCAAGACTTCTACGTAAAAAGCGCACATTATTAAGGGCATCAAAAAGGCGTAAAGAATGGAGAGACCACGTTCCTCAATAGGAAGATCTGTGATTATTAAAATTCTCCCCACATGAATCCCCAACTTATTCAAGGTGATCCCAATCAAAACCCCTCCTGTCTTTCCCTTTCTCTTCCCGACGGCTATTCCTGCTCTGCACGGCTCTGGGACAAACCGCTACAACACGCAGTGGTTGGAAACGTTCACTCTGCTCACCAACCTACGGCCCAGACAGGACCGGGCACACAGCTCACCTGCCGCACCCGCTGCGGCACTGGGTGTGTCTGCTGCCGGCGGCCTCTCGGCCAGGATCTGCTTGACCGGGGCTGCACGGCCCCAGGCGGCCTTCGCAGGTGGGCACTCGACTTCCTCACAGAACGGCGGCTGGGCTCGGAGAGCCCGCATCCCCAGAGGGCCCCGGAGAAGATGTATCACCTTTTACGACTTGATCTCCAAAGTCATGGTGCCCCCTCCTCCTAGAAGCCCACTCGGATTCAACTGGAGGAAACACTGACCAGGCCTCTCCGTGGAGGAAGGTCACTGCCATGGAGAGAAGAGCACGGGGTCTGGAATGTGCAGATACAATCGGTTTTGGAAAATAGTATCTGTACACCTAACAATCTGATGCTGAAGTTTATACGAAAGACAAAAACGTCTACTAGCCAAGGGATGTGTTTTAAAACAAAAGACATTGGGATGCCTGGGTGGCTCAGTGGGCTAAAGCCTCTGTCTTCGGCTCAGGTCATGATCCCAGGGTCCTGGGATGGAGCCCCGCATCGGGCTCTCTGCTCAGCGGGGAGCCTGCTTCCTCCTCTCTCTCTCTCTCTGCCTGCCTCTCTGCCTACTTGTGATCTCTGTCAAATAAATAAATAAAATTAAAAAAAAAAAAGACATCAATACATATGATAAACATGTAATAATTACACATCTGGTCCTGGCACAGAAGAGACGATGATCACAGAACATAATGTGTACATGACACTGGTTTAAAATAAAGGTGAAATTTTCAGAAAGTAGAAAAGAGACAATTATGAAATGATGTTAGGCCAATGTGCTACCCAATTAAGACTATAAAATTAGACCTTAATGCTCCACACCACCTGCCACACACAGAAATAACCGAAGCTACACAGATCCAAATGTAAAACACAAATTCCAAAGTTCCTGAGAGAAATACAGGAGAAAACCAATTACCTCCTCCAGATAGACAAGGCTTCCTAAACAGGACACACTCTACTCAGAAACCATTCTTTAAAACGACCTATTTCACTCCAGAAAAGCCGTAATAGTCAGAACACCAACGCACATTAGATACGTGAACTAGTCACACGAAACACAACTACAGACGACACAAGAACACGAACACACCATAAGAACAGACTCTCGCACACACCGTGGGCCACAGACAGGTCAAGTGAACAAAACATTAAGATATGAATGTGTGACCCAACAGGTGGGTAGGGGCGCCCTTAGGTTCTGTATCTAGCATTACAGTCTAAAAAGCAGAGCAAGAACGTTCTGGAACACACAGAACATCCACAACGTCTGGTCCTTTCTCAGGTCACAGAGGAAAGGGAAGTTCCATAAAGCAGAAGTATTACACACAACATCCTAATCACAATGCAGTAAAAGTAGGAATTTTAAAATACGAATTTTAAAGAATTTCTTTCTGGAAATTAAACAAATTTCATGTTAAACCGTTGGGTGAAAGGGGCACTACAGACTCAGAGCAGAGACTTGCTGAAAAATGAACACTGGGATTTCAATTCCTATCTCTAAAGACCTGCATCATTTACATTTAAAATGAAAACAAACGTATTCCAACTCCAAAAAAAAAAAAAATAGAAAAAGAACAAAGTAACCCTTAAGAAAGAGGAAGGAAATAAGAATGAAGGTGACAGTACGTCAGAAGTAAAAACCCTGGTTCCTAGGGGAGAAAGAGTCCACAAACTACGATTAGCGGATTCAATCCAAGAAGAAGGGGAAAGTACAAAAACACAAAGAAGTAAGTACTGCCACGAGCGCATTTTAAAAGTGAATAAAAGACCCTGTGCACACCTTCACGACACTAAATTTTATAACTTAACTGAAATGTGTAATTTCTAAGAAAAATACAGTTTAGCCAAACTGACGGATGGCTGTAAGAGACTCATTTCCATGAAAGGGACATAGAAAGTGATCAAGGAACTGTCCTGTAAGAAGGCACCAAGTCCAGATGGTTTCACAGGAGAATCCCATCAAACCTTGGAGACCAGACTGTTGTAGGGCTGCATAAATTGTCCCCAAAAATACGAAATAAATGAAAACTTCCAAGTTATATTTATGAAGCACATATAATATTGACATCTGAACCTGACAGACAATACAAAAAACGTTACAGACCAATCACTTGTGACCAAGATGGAAAAAAATCCTAAATTAGGTGAACAGACACCAAGACCACATTAAAAACTAGTAATTTGACCAAGTGGAATGTATAACAGGAAAGCAAGTCTAGTTCTTATTAAGAACCCATTAATATAACCCGACGTATCAGTAAATTTAAGTGGGGAAAAACCCATACAATTATCTCCAGAGTCTGAAAAAGCGTTCCAACAAAATTCTAGAATGTATTCCTAATAAAGATCCTTGAGGAAGCAGGAAGGGCTGGACCCACTCCCAAGCTCGTGCACGTTTCCCCCCATCCTGCGCCGCCCCCTTGCTGGGCACAGCCCGCGGGCGCCCCACGGAGGCCAGCACAAGGCACCGAGGCCCACCATTTCCACCGCTTAACCACGGTTCAACAGAGGAGACGACCGGAGGCCCAGAACAGAGAAAGAAGAGCTGACATGACGGGAAACGCAGCAAAGCCCTAGACTCTGGGGCGGAGAGAACCGGCGATAACACGAACTCGAGCAGAGAATGTGCAAGGCTGACACAAAAGAAACCCATAGCCTTCCCACAAACACAACAGCCAACTGGAAGAGAAGATGAGAGAGAGCCCCACGCGGACATGAGCGACGAAACAAGGACAACGCAGAGAAATAAACTTAAGCAGAAACACGTAAACTCTGCCATGAGGACACGCAGCCCTAAAACACTCCAGAAGGACACAGACGTGCACAGAGAGACAGGCCTCCCTCGCTTGGGGTCCGAACGTCTCCACACCAGCAAGACGTTGTCTCTGTGCATGGGAATTTGTAAGCTCAACGCAGTCCCGATGAAAAGCCCAGAAAATTCCGTCTGGAGCTCAGGAACTTGCTACTGATGTTCATACGGGGAAGGAACCGTGCAAGAGCCAGGGGAAAACCATGAAAAGCCTGGGGCCGAGGGCGGCCTGGCCTGCCAGACGGGGCTGTGGACCGTTCGCCCCGCGGCCTTCGCAGCTCTGTCCCAGCCGCAGGGCAGGAGCCGCAACACAGAGCACAGATGTGCGGGTCGGGGACTGAGCAGGAAACAGCCGCGGTGACGCTGTCCGAAGCCAGGGCCGAGGCCAGCCCGGACCGGCACTGCGCAGGGCACAGAGCCTGGGGGACCGGGGCTCCCATCAGAGGCACAGGGTCAAGCCCCAGTCCCCGAGACACACGGCCTCCAGCGCGGCTCCCGAAGGGCGGGCGGCTCGCACAGCCCGCAGCGCCGGGGTGGCGGCTCTGGGAAGAGGAGGGCGACTCCAGGACGAGGGCGGCACAGGCGTGAGAGCCCAGGATCTCCTGCAGTGCCTGAGTCAGAGAAGTCCCTGAAAAGGACCCAAGGGCCGGTATGAAGTGACTCTCACTCCGAATCTGGGACGCGCTGAGATCACAGGAAGGACAACAGATGGCAAAGCGTTACAAGGCACAGAAAGCCACGCAGGCTCCTTCCAGAGGAGAACCCCGCGGAGCAGTGTTGGGGAGCTGGCTGCCGTCCTCTCAAGACTGGGCCAGAACACTCACCGCTGGTGCTCCGTCTACGCAGGGAAGCTGGACCAGGAGCAGGTGAACCTCGGGGTCTTACTGTGGCCCCCCGAGACGGCTTCTCAGCCGCAAGAGGAAACAGTGCCTGTGGCCCAGAGAAACCTCAGCCACACACCAAATCTTACCTCCCCGCCGAGGGGCCGCAGACAGAAGCAGTCAGCACTGCAGGCCTAGGACGGCTGTGCCTGGGCCTGGCCACGGGGTGGGCCCCTGGCTGAGGCCTGGGAACACGAATGGTGAGGGGGTTCTCGCCACCACGTGACAAGAGGCCCTCACTGGGCACCAGCTCTTTGCATAAACACTACGGTTCTGCCAAATGCTGCTCTCCCTCCAGGAGTCTAGAGTTTTGATACGAGCCAGGCAGAGGGTGCCCACGTGCCTGAACCCTGACAAAAGTCCTGGGTGCTGACCTCTGACGAGCTCCCTGGCAAACAACGTGCCCCATGTGTGGCCACGCTGCGGGTATAAGCCCACCACGCGTGGCAGACTCGACTGGGAGAGGAACAAAGCGAAATCCGCCAAGGCAGAAAGGTCCAGGAGTAAGTTAAGCTTCCAGTCCTTTCTCTAAATCAAACCACACCGTTTCTGCACACTCAGATTCCGGGGCGGATCACGACACACAACGATCCGTGTACGCCGGGTACCACTAAGACAGGAAGGAATGACCCCGGCACTGTCTCTCAGCGCACGACAGAAGAACTCTGTCAAGAGTGACAAGCCTCTGTCTGGGTTCATAAACACACAACGACACAGTACAAGTAAGGTCCCTGGACGTTTTGGCCATGGAGGGCCTGCTCTGGGGGCACGACAGCAAGGAAGCGGGGCGGTCCCCGGCCTCAGAAAGCCCATGAACCAGCAGAGACCCACGGGGAGAATGAAGTTGAGCGGCCACCATGACAGTGAACATCCGGGGTTCAGAAAACCAAGTGGGAGGAAACACTAACAATCCCAAGAGGGCAGGAGGTCACAGGGAGGTCCCAGGAACGCACGACACAGCAGGTGAGTTGTACCCGGTGGCTACCCAGAAGGCGACACACGGGTCCAGAGCAGAAGCGTGGAGTGACAAAGCCACCGGGCATGTGACGGAGGAAGGGGAAAAAGAGGCACCAAGCAGAGACCATTAAAAGGTCACTCTGAAGCATTAGAGTTGTCTGAACAAAAAGCTAGACTGGGGGATTCGTGACCCTATTCCAAGATGCTTCCGGTCCTTTCCTCGCCCCTGCACATACTTACGCAGCAGTCCGTCCAGTAAACGTGAAGGAAGGGGAAGGTGAGCAGGGCTTTGTTTCCTTCTTTGGGCAGCAGCTCCTCTTTGAACTGAACAAAGTTAGATTCTAGGTGAATCATCTTTGGAGCCCGGCCATAGGACCTACAAACAATTTTTAAAACGTCACTAAGAAAAATGACTACAGAGGATCCGCAGAAAGAAAAGGGGGGGGAAATCCAACAATAATTGAATCATATCCACGAATGCAAAAGTACATATACGGTATTAATCCTGAATTATGATGATAATACTCTGTCCAAAAGGATTCGGACATTATCTGAGCATGGCACGTAGTTACGGGTCAAAGCTCCGTCCCCATTGAGACTTTCGCATTACTCAGTGACACGAGCACAGCAATACCCTGTTGAACCGGGGCCGTGTGCGACAACACAGACGGCTGAGAACAATGGTATTACTCGGAGTAGTATCTCAATTACTGAATCTCTAAGTCACTATAAAAAAAAATGGTTCCCAAATGTCAAAAGCGCAGTTTGAAGATAGGAAAGCTTTAAACCACACAAATCCTTTTACGAACACCTTTATGACCCAAAACAGAGCCGCCCGCCACCTCCTGCGGGAGGAACATGGAGAGAGCCCGCTGCCCTCGGCCCCCCGCGACCCCCCGGCCCCCCAAGGGAGGGACACAGAGAGAGCCCCCGGGCTGCTGACCTCTGATCTACGGCGTGGCTATTTCATTACCTTCTAAAGCGTACGTTCGCCTCCATGTATCTTTCCTCCACACTTGTATTTTCCACTTCTAGTAACTGTGTCTCTGGCACATCTCTAAGCTGGATTCTAGTATTTTTTTCGTCCAATCTAGTGGGTCTAACACACTGAAACTAGCCATATTTAACACGATTACGCTGGTGCTTGAACCTGCGTATTTTCTGTTTTCAGGCTCTTTCCCCCTGTCCTTTGTGAGACTAATCAAGTTTTTTTCCATCCTTTTTCTCTGCTGGTTTGAAAGTTTCGCCGTCTATTTCTATTCTGCTGTTGGTTACAGTTTTATTTTTAACATGCATGAACTTAAATGTTTCTTTTAAAGCCCAGAGGAAGTGTCTACCCTCTCCCTGAACCAGACAAGTACACTTCCTCCTCTCTGCTTTCTTCCCCACATCTAAAATGTTGGACTTAATTTTTGAAAGGACTGACGGCTTAAGTTAGCGAAATATCTTTATGACTTGTTTGCCGGCGACCGCTTCCTTCCTCTGAATTCTGGGAGCATTTTCCTTGCTGGGCGCTGTGTCCTTTCACTGTTTCAGGGCAGTGAGGCTTGTGACCGCACCTGACTTCTCAGCCACTTGCCGGCCATGGCAGGCACCGAGCGCAGCGTGAGAGCGCCCCTCCCGACGACACAGGGGAAGCTCCGAGCGGCCAAAAGTCACGCACCCCAGGGCCCCCATGGCTCCCAGGCCCCCGACGGACAAAGCCGTCAGCCCAGCCTCAGCAGGGCCCCAGGCCCACAGGCAGGGCAGGGGCGGACTCGGCGCTCCCTTCGGCCCATGCGGTGCGGCAGCGCACCTCGAGGCTGGAAGGCATTTGCCATCAGTGCTTTGAGAAGGGCCGGCTCTGCAGCTGCGTCTTCCACGTTGTCGGGACCTCAGATCTGGTCTCCTTTTATTTTCCTGACATGGCCTCTGGTTTGCTGCGTTTTGCTTTCAGTCCACGGGACTTTCCGTGGGCACCAGCAAGCCCCTGATTCGCCTCTGGGAAATCCCTGACCTTCGTTGCTCGGATCCTGTCTGTCGCCCGTTCTCTGTCCTCCACTCTGAAACTTCCGGCTGTGCCCCACATCTCGGGGTGTCCCTGCGCCCCCGTCTGCAGCTCTGGGCCCCCGTCCCCTGCGCGAGGGGGCAGGGCTTTGCAGCTCCGTCTTCCCACTCCCCAACGTGATCTCCTCCGTACAGCCATTCACCGCACTGAGGACAATCTCGGCTTCGAGCTTAGGTCCGGGGTCTCCTCAATTAACCGCACATTCTGATCACAGCCACATGCACCTGCTGTAACATGTCAAACAGTGTCAAAAGGCCATTCTCTCTCTCTCTCTCTCTCTCTCACACACACACACACACAGAGCTGCCCACCCCAGTCTCCTCTGGTCCCCTCCTGTACTAGTTTTCCTAGAGCTACTCTGACAAGTTACCACAAACCCAAAGGCTTAAAACAGTATTAACTGGGGTGCCTGGGTGGCTCCCAGGGTAGGTTAAGCCTCTGCCTTCAACTTGGGTCATGATCCCAGGGTCCTGGGATCAAGCCCCACATCGGGCTCTCTGCTCGGCGGGGAGCCTGCTTCCTCCTCTCTCTCTGCCTGCCTCTCTGCCTACTTGTGATCCCTGTCTATAAATAAAATCTTTAAAAAAAAAAAAGAAAGAAAAAACATCAATTCTCTCACCGCTCGGAGGCCAGAAACAGTAAATCAAGGCGCTCGCAGCGTTGGCCCCCCGAGAGTCGGCGGGAGAACTCACTCCTCATCCCTCCTACCTCCGGCAAACCCGGGCAGTCTCTGCTCGGGGCCCCTCACGCCCGTCTCCGCAGCCATGTCCAGGCGACTGCTCCCCCGCGAGCGGCTGTGTCTTCCCGGGACACTTGTCATCGGACTCAGGGCCCCCACTACTCTGGGATGGCCTCACGGGATCCTCGTTCCAAACGAACTCACACACAGCTCGCAGACGGACACATGATCTAGCGGCCGCCACTCAGCGCACAGTATCTCCCCAAACGCCGTCCTATCAGACACAACATCCAAGCGTCCATGATGGAAGCAGCAGGCTCAGCTCTGCCTGCCCGTCTCTTTTTTTTTTTTTTTTTTTTAAAGATTTTATTTATTTATTTGTCAGAGAGAGAGAGAGAGATCACAAGTAGGCAGAGAGGCAGGCAGAGACAGAGGGAGAAGCAGGCTCCCCGCCAAGCAAGGAACCCGACATGGGACTTGATCCCAGGACGCCGGAACCATGACCCGAGCCGAAGGCAGCCGCCCAACCAACTGAGCCACCCAGGCGTCCCTGCCCGCCCGTCTCTTACCCGTGCCCCGGCCCCCTGGCTCTGTGGCCCCCCTACTAAATGCAGCAGCACCGGGGTCTGGAGCCTGGCAGCACACTCTGGTGACAGTTTTATGATGTGCTATTGGTCTTCCCACGTTCTCAGCTCCCGGACTCGCCGCTCCCCATGTCGCACCCCCACCCCGGCTCTCCGACAACCGCAGAGTCCGAGCCTCAGCCACCAGGTCCTCCCTCCGGCTGGTGTCCCTCGGAAGGCCTCCTGCTCCAACCAGGAAGGCACCGCAGGGCCGGTCTCCTCCAGGATGGTGTCCGGTCTGTGCCACGATGAGTCCTCAACTGTCCCGCCGGGGGAGCACCGGAGAGGCACAGAGCTTTGCCGCCTGGCTGCACCTGCTCTGATCCAGACGGGCCGCCGTCAGAACGGTTCTTCTCCCCACTCTGCGGAGCCTCGAATCCACAGGGCTGAGCTCGTCCATCCACAGCCGGAGCCACAGGCCGGTGCAGAGGTGGTCCTGTGAGATCTGTCCCTCCTGGCATCGCTGCCTGCATCTCCAGGAGCCGCCCTGGCGAATGCGGGGAGCACGGGCGCAGCCGCCTCTCCCGAGGCCTCCGTCTCTCGTCCCTCTCCAGGGAAGATGTCCAGTCTCCACCGCGTCACCCTCCCGCCTCGTCATCCCTTCCTCCAGCTCAGGAGGTGCAGGAAGGCAACCAGAGGAACACACACGAGATCCACAGCCTCTCCTTGTCTCCTACAGGCCCTCGTCTTATTTCATGGACACACTCTTCGCTCGTCTCTCTGAAGGGTTAAATACCGCGTATTGGAAACCTCTCCCGACCGCTCCGTCTCCCCGGGCACTGACTCCTCCGCAGGGCTGCCGTCTCTCACGGACAGCACAGCCTCCTCAGATGCTGAACGGTTCTCCTACCTGCTGTCTGCTCCATATGCACAATTCAGGAATCACCCGCACGCCTCCTGCCATGCTGCCGGACATAAACACGAAACCGGCTCCCACCTCCAGACCCCCAGGAAGCCACAGAGGTTCTCCGCAGTGGCGGGCTGCACCCAGCGGGGACAGGGAAACGACGCAGCAAGAAGGCGACGACACGCGCAGGACTAACCACCGGAGACGTGCGTGCACCTCGACTAAAATCGACTCCCCCGTTCTAACAAGTCAAACTCCAAACAGTTTCTAGAAATGACAGCTCATCTTAGCAGAAGTAAGTTTTCCAATAGGATAATTCAAATGTGGACCACTTCTCTGAACAAGTCATGAGACAAACAATCACATGCAAAAGGATGAACAGGATGGCTGGTCCAGTGTGTCCCCCCTAATTTACAAATAACATTTTTCCGCGTACTTCCTCACCCTTAAAAAGGAGCACAGGAGCCCGGGAGGGGAGCCCTAGCTGAGACCGCAGGTAAAGGCCATGTGTTCTGCTCTAAAGTGGAGTCTGTGCCTTTAAGACACTCTGCTGCAGCCTCTGAACTCAAGGAGACAAACCAGCGTTGCTGGAGAGGAGGGGGTGGGGGATGGGGTAACCGGGGGACGGGCATTAAGGAAGGCACGGGGTGTGACGAGCACTGGGTGTTCTATGCCACTGATGAATCATTTACCTCTATCTCTGGAACTAATAATACACTGTGTGTTAACTAAACTGAATTTAAATAATTTTTTTTTAAAAAAAAGATACTCTGATGTGCCATGAGGAATCAGAGGTCGTTCCTATAAAAGCGGGCCTTTAACTCAGAATTACTGTCTTGTTTCCACCGCCTTATGTTTCGGTAAGAAAATCAACATACTTCTCACAAGTGAGGCCGCGGACTATGTGACCGCTCGGTTTCTTTACAAGACACCTCACAACTCAGGCTCTAGCTTTCCCCCCTTACTTGCTCACAGAGAGGTCTACAAAACCATGAGGAGATAAAGCCAAAGAACGAACGTGCCCCACCTTCTCCATTCCATCGGCTCTCTGGGAAGCTGCTGGGAAAGCGTCGGATAAATAGAGGTAAATAAGTTCTGATCTCCAGCACCTACAATAGGAATAAAAAGAAATCCAGTTACGACATTTTTAGGTGAATACGGGCAAAATGGGCTCTAGAATTTATTGACTTGGTAACTTGAGACAATTTTATATTTAGTAAAATGACATCACAAAGTAAGATTGTCGCACACCTTTAAATAACTCGTCTCAAAAAAACCTAGATCTTGGCCTGCACAGTCTAACTTCACCCCGCGACACCTCCGTGCAGTGCGCACGATTTTCCCTGAGGACAACGAGGGTCAGGGAACGAGGCTGGGAGACGCGGAGCACCTGCTCAAGGCCACAAAGCTAAGGAGAGAGGGAGCTGGCACCCATCCACCAGCCACCTGAGTGTGGGACCCACGGCCATTGCTTCCTTCTGCTTGACGTGAACGGCCACAAACGTCCGGCCGAAAAGGAAACCCTGAGAAGTGAACGTGAACTTCTTCACCAAAATAAACTCACGATGCATCCAGATGCTGGAAGGAGCTAAAATGGACACAGGACACTCTGTGTGCGCACACGACACACAGGACACCTGGCGAGCCTTCCCGGAGTCAGGCCTCACGGTAACCGCGCAGGAAGGCAAGCGCCACCCCGTTTCACAGGCCAGGACGACGAGGTCTGAGAGGCCAATGAGTCTGGAGCACAGCCCTCGCTCACGGGGGACGCCAGCTCTGAGTGCAGGGGTGAGTTTTTAACTCAGCTCTTATCTCGGTGTTAACAGACTGCAAAGTCCATTAGCTCTCCAAAACTGATAGGGTAACCACATTACACTTAAGCTAAAGAAGAACCTTTTAATATAGACCAGTCGAACTCTTACACTGCAAGATCGTCAAACTCGAAGCAAGACCATTATCCAAATTGCTTTTGCATTGATCTTAAAGAAATCATTGGGAATTGATGTGGGCCATTAACACATCTGCTTATTTTGCTATCATGAAAACACACACACACATACACACATACATACGTATATATATATAAAGACCTCCCCCACACCACATAAGGATATCAAGTCACTGCTGAGAGCAGCGACGCTTCTGGGCAGCCAGAGTCAGAGGTGGGGGCCGGGGGAGGATACGGGCGCTGAGAGCCCCTTGGCCGGGGTCTTCTCAGAGCCACGCCATCTCCTAGCTGAGCGCCTGCGCCTGGGGGCGGCGCCACCTGTCCTGAGCCTCCCCAGGCCGCCTGGGGAGTGGAAGTGAGAACACCCTGGGCTGTGGCGAAGCTCAAATGAGTGAACCCAAGTAAACCACCTTGAACCCCGGGCCTGCCACGAAGTAGTCTGAGTTACTCGTACTACATTTTTTGTTAGAATAAAAACAAATTTTTATGTTTTAACGTATCATTTTTCATCATATTCATTTATTTGGTAGTCATCTTAGAAATCGTTAAAATAAGAAAATAATCAATTAGCCTCGGACGTCTTACCTTGGATGGCCATTCCCACAGCCTCCTTAAAATTAAAAGGTTCCAGGGTTAATGAACAAAAGCGACTACTCTTCTGCCAAGGAGCAGGATGAGGCCCCCTCCTGCTTCGCTTGTGTTCACCGGTCCTCGTCCTTGTCCCAAAGGCCCGCACGTGTACACAAGGCTCCAGAGAGCCTCCTATGTGCCCCACGTACCTCCCTCGGAAAACCCTACCAGAACAATAAAACTCATCAAAATGGAGACCATAAAGTTAATTTTTCTGACACGCTCTCATGGCATAAACCTTTAATTTGTGTCCTAAATTTAATCTGAAAAGATTACAGGTCAGCCAGCATAGTAACTGCGGACTTAAATAGGACTGTTCAGCCTCAGGGCCTCATACACTGAGCTGTGCCCCCCCCACCCAATCCATGTAGAATCCTAACCCTTGGTGGCTCTGAATGTGACTGTACCGGGAAATCACGTCTTTAAAGAGGTGACTGCATTAAATGAGGTCTTTCAGGCCTTCAAGCTCTGATCCAATCTGACCGGTGCCCTTTTATCGGAAGAGAAAATGTGGAGACACAGAGAGATTTTAGGGGTGTGACTAGCTCATGAGAGGACACAGAGAGAAGACCACCGTCTGCAAGGCAAGAAGGGAAAGCCCCAGCTACGGACGCCTTGAGCTTGGACTTCAGAACCTCCAGCTTCCCGCTGGCCGCCTTCAGCCTTGCGGGCTGGGCCCCTCGGCTGCTCATCACAGTGCCCCAGCGGACAAACACGGCACCCCCCAGTCTACACTTGAAGGTCAGATTTCTCTAACCCACCGACTGAGAACGAAGAAGAACTACCCTCACTCTCCAGAACGCACACCTATCATTATCCTCAGAGCATCCTCTTGGTATGGAGTATCCTACAACCCGAGACGCCCAGGAGGGGCTTTCAAGGCTGATGCGCCCAGCCTCAGAGAACCCTGTGCAGAAAACGCCCGTGCTAATTTTTCCACCTCAAGAGGCCTATTCAAAGACTGAAGTCAGAGTATTTATTGTAACAACTAAGATCCCTCTTTGTGTGTGTGAAGAAGGGGGACTCCTCAAAATAGTTAATAAGGGTCCTCTAGAGCATAACTACTAACATGAACATCTCACCCCTGCATGTGTCTAACATGCCCCCGTTCTCATCTCTAGAGGGGACACATCTGGGGAGCAGCTCCAGGGGTGTGCAGCCCACCTCAGTCATCCTCGGCCCCTGGCCAGTATCCGAATGCAGCTGTGCCCTGGCAGGAGAGGGAGACAGGCACAGGGGCCACTCAAATGGGAAGGGAAACACTGGGACAGTCGCCCTGCTGGGGAACAGAGGGACACCGGTACTCAGGGTGTAGCCCAGACCCACCCGCACCTGCCCCGGGCCGCGAAGAGCCCAGCTCAGACGCCCCCCAACAAAAGCAGGCAGAGTCCCTGGTTTCTGATTACATGAACCTGTTTTCATCTTATTCCTGCCACAGCAGGATTTTCTGGATTTTTTGGCCAGACCTTTGGTACTTCCTGGATTATTACTGCATTCTGAGATTTTTACCAGCATATATTTAAACCTATTAATTGTGCAATTTAAAACTTCTTATGCCAAGAGCAGATAAGACTGCTAACTAGGGGTGCCTGGGTGGCTCAGTGGGTTAAGCCACTGCCTTCGGCTCAGGTCATGATCTCAGAGTCCTGGGATCGAGCCCCGCATCGGGCTCTCTGCTCTCTAGGGGAGCCTGCTTCCTCCTCTCTCTCTGCCTGCCTCTCTGCCTGCTTGTGATCTCTCTGTCAAATAAATAAATAAAATCTTTAAAAAAAAAAAAAAAAAAAAAGAAAAAAAAAAAAGACTGCTAACTAAACAGGGAGCGAAAAAGAATTCCAAAAAATACGATTCCAGTTATTTAAGCATAAATGGGTCGTATTTCACATTCTTCTTATACCTTTAAAACAAAAAGAAGGGGCACCTAGGTGGGTCAGTGGGTTAAAGCCTCTGCCTTCAGCTCAGGTCATGATCCCAGGGTCCTGGGATTGAGCCCCTCCTCGGGCTCTCTGCTCAGTGGCGAGCCTGCTCCCCGCCCCCCCGCTCTCTGCCTGCCTCTCTGCCTACCTGTGATCTGTCTGTCACATAAATAAATGAAAAAAAAATTTTTAAACAAAAAGAATTGGGAACTCAGTTACAGAGAAAGTAATCAGTAACTTGGATCAACAACTGAAAAGGCACTAACGTTTGTCCAGTTGAGAAAATATCGATAACTACACATACAGACGCTTCTCTTGGGTTTGTGATTCCCAACAGTAGGACTGTAAGAAAACAGCTCTTATGAAATAACTCTCAACTTCAAAGAAGGCGATCATAGCAAAAATAGAAACCTGCAGGCTGGACAGTCTTTCCTGACCCAAGAAGCTGTCCCTGAGACGAGAGTCTAACCAAAGCTTAACAGCAGGCCCAGCCCACCCCACTCCACCCCGGCCACAAGCCGTCCCACCATCTGCATCAGTCTCCCTCGACCCGGAGAACAGTGCAAACCTTCGTTCGCCTTCCATCACTTTATCTCTGGGTCTGCTATGACGACAAAGTCACAGTTACTTAGTGTCAAAACAAAAAGTCCCATTTTTAATTCTTAACACTGGATGGCAACGGACCAGCTGACCAGTCCAGGACCAGAGGCAACCCCCCTCCACCGCCACCTCCTTGCTGGAAAGCCACACCCACACCAAACTGTCCCGCGGGGCTCTAGCCGAGGGACGAGATGACAGGGGCGCTCACTTTCTGCATTTCAGGAACACAGGACGTCCAAACTAAAGGTACGATTCTCTCTAACACAAAAGAAAACTGTTTTGTACCTACATTCAAAAAGCTGTAAATTGGTTGCTGATGTTCCTATAATGTTTATGCAACGAGTTTTAGAATATTTTAGGACTCAGTTATGACATTAAGATTGAATCTGGCACTGAACCGTCTACAGATAAAGTAGCTAAATTACCAAATGCGGTTTGAGTGCTCGACAGCTACAAATTACGCCTCGGGGAAAACACAAGGCTGAACCGAAAAGTTACTCTCCACTGGGAAGGACATGGGACACTCGCGCTTGTACAATCATTACTCCCCACGATTTTTATTTTTCCCCAGACATGTGTTAAGGGCGTTTGGAAATCTCTGTCCTAGTCCTGTAATGTAACGTAACACTACATTGGTACACTACAAGACCCTCGAGGTGTAAGGTCAAGGACAGACGCGGTTGCTAATCAGATGATCTTAAATAAAGAGATTACCCCAGATTATCCAGGTGGGCCAAGGTGCCCGGAGGGGAAGATATTCCGTGGGGAGAAGGGAGGCAGAAGGCCAGAACCGAAGAGTTGGTACCATGAGAAGGACTGAACAGGTCACTGCTGGCTTTGAAGATGGAAGGAGGTCCGTGAGCCAAGGAATGTGGGAAGCCTCTAGAAGCTAGAAAAGGACAAGGGGATGGCTTCTCTTCTAGAAGGAATCAGCCCTGCCAACCCCTTGATTTTGGACCCATTTCAGACTTCTGACCCCCAGAACCCTAAGACAAATACACTTCTGTATTATTTGGTA